ACTGATTATATAAATAACAAATGTCATATCCGTATACAACCAAATCCTATATCTATACAGCCGAAAAATATGCACATACAGCTAATGCCATATACATATTTGTCATATTCTTATAAAACCAATGTCATATGCATATACAGCCAAATCACGTGAAACAGGCCAGTTGTGGACACACAGCCAACGTCATAGGCATATACAGTCAAAAACATATGCATATACATCCAATGTCATGTGAACATACGGCCTACTAATGGTACATATATAGCCATTCAAATGTACATGTTATAGCCAATGTCCTATTGCATATATGTTCAGTAAAATCATACACATATAAAGCCAACAAGATATGCAAATTCAACTAATACCATATACATATACAACCATTGTTCTATGCATATACAGCCAACACGTGTTTTTATAAAGCCAAATCATATAACAAATAATGCAGATATACCCAATGTCATTTGCAAACACCAATAATGCCATATACAAACTCATTCAATGCTATATGGATATTTAGCAAATGTCAAGTGCACATGCAGTAAAAGCCATATGCACATACAGGCAATGCCGCATGCACAAACAACTAATGTCATATGCATATGCAGTGAATGCCATATGCATATACAGCCAATATGCATATATGCATTCACAGACAAATCATATACATATTAAATCAATAAAATATGCATATACAGCCAATGCTATAAGCATATACAGCCAATATCATATACACATACAGCCATCTCATATGCATATAGAGCAAACCAAAATATGGATATTCAGCCAAAGCAATATACACAGACAGCCAATGTCATGTACATATGCAGCCAATGCCATATGCATATACAGCGAATGTCATTTGCATATACAGCCAATGCGTTATGCATATACAGCCAATGTTACAAGCCTATTTGCCCAAGCCATATGCATATACAGCCAATATGCATATGATATGAGGCTAATGGCATATGCATTCGTGTGTCATATGCATATACAGCCAGATCATATACTGTTCATATAGAGCGAACCAATTATCCATATATGCCTATGCATCTAAGGCCGTATGAATATGGTGTCGGCTTACTTTTTGCATGAGTCGTTTAAACTTGATTTGTGTGAACTTTATATCTGGATGTATATATTTTATAATGTGGCGGGTGAAAGAACTCCTCTCTATGCCTGATATCAGTACATCAAAAAGAAAACGGCTACCACGATATAAAATGATTTATTCATGACCCTTTAACGGACTGGAAAATTAACCTAAATCTCCAAGTCAAGCGTATAAGGAGGCGAATGTTGATTTTAATCATGTGAAAACAAACGTTCTTAAGCTTGTTGTTTCACGATTTTCTCAAAAATAAAGTTTGCTTTATTATTGTGTTATAACATTCACCCACGGCTTTCCACCTGACAGAAAAATGCATCTCCAAGTCAAAACATTTTTTCCCAACCTACTTCAAAGTATTTCTCAAAAAAAAGATACGCGTGCCCGTTTCAACTTGACTTTTTACTGTTTAATTAAGATGATAATAACATAGTATCGGAATATCGGAATTTCGGCTTTTTTCCGTTGGTATCGTCGACAAAAGTGGTGGTGGTTCATCTATAATTCTATCATCTTATAGTCGCAACTACGTTTAAAATATTCAGACATTTGTACTTGTTTCATGCATACAATTTCTTTAAATAAATATTTCCTAATATGACCTTTGAATTGAAAACTATGTGAGTATTGTTATTATCGTACAAAGTTGAAAATTCATCACAATATTAAATTGAATATTATCCTTAATCGACGGAAATGTTTTTGATCAAATTAACTACCATTAATCTATTAATAATAAATATATCCATTGTATAATTTATTCAGTTAGTTAAACAAATACAAAGATAATTCATTGAAGCTTGTGTCTTGCAATCATCTTTATTAATAGAAAATATGTAACCTAATAAGTCTGCAACTTATCTTGATATAACAGTAAAAGAATGTATCATGTATCTTTATATCAGGATCATTATGATTTCCGTTTTAAGTCTGTTTCGAAATCTGTGTTTTCATTTACACTTATTCTAACTGCAATGTCGGCAGCAGAACCACCATGTCAACTGATGAAGAAAGCACATTTGAAATTTGTATGTTAATAAGACGATCGAAAGCGTAAATAGATAGTAAGTGATGCTTTCTTATAAATTTATTATGTGCGCCTTGGCTGTGAACTGGATTTCCAGCCCACCACCTTGCGTCAATTCTGGTCGGCTATTCAGATATTCTTACATGTTAATATGAAAAATAAAAAATCTTTTGACTACAATGCTTTCCCATAATTCCAGATATTTCTAGCCGTGAATTTACTATGTCACGTGCGCATATGGTAGAGAAATGCCACTCGTCGTCAATACATTGTGGTACATCCGCTTGCAATTTAATAGTTCATCTAAACGTTCTAAAACTCTCCATGCTTTCCATTGCCTTTTTAGCGAAAGGATTGCACGTAGTAAACCCGATTTAAAAGAGGTATTGATGAGATTCCCCATTGGGTTGATTCAGGGCATGTTTCATTTTTACGCGAATCTGAAACTCAAAAATATTGCGCTAACACATATTTTATTGTGTACCACATGTATACCGAAAAGAATAGATAGTTTGAAGGCGACTGGCGCAACATCATTGTTATAAGCGATCAATAGTTTTCAACTTGCGTTATATTATCTGGATATCTGTCGTCGTTTTATTAGGAGTGTATATAATGCACACGAGGGATATTGTTACAGAGCTAACTTTGAATTTTACTAGTTAAGGTATGTAGTGGGATTTAAAGAGGTAAAAGTACAAACATAGGCGTAAATTAGTAAAAACAGAATTGATTATGGACTCGGTAAAAACGACGTGGACTCGAAATCGAATCCGAGTCCAAAAAATGCCTGGATTCGACTCGAATCCGAGTCCGGATCCGAATCCCGGCCCATCCCTAAAATTTATGTAAAACTGATTATGTCATGTCATTTTTGTATTTATTCAACGCGGTGAAACCTCTTGTCCGCTTATGCGATATAAAATATTTTCTGTTCTGTTCTTCAAATGTTGCTCTTACTTTATTTGCTTATAAAAGTTTGCAATGAGTAGAAATTGTACTGATAAAACATTACTGTTCGGTCTTCATATCCGCTAAATTAAAATCATAGATCTGACATATATATGCTTTGTTATTCTGATGATAATCACTGGCTCCAACATTAACGATGTAGTGGGAAATACCAAATTGAATTAACCAAAATGATGCTTTTTTATCGTGTTTTGTCTACATTCTGATTCATTTATTATAATCATATAGTTTCAATTACATTACACATATGTATACGACTAATATTTCCTCCTAAACACCCACATTGGTACTGCTTATTGCGTTGGTATTATATACAAAAGGTTATTGTATGAGTTGCAAAAAGTCAGTATAGATGGTAAGCGTTGTAAATTATATTGGCGAAAATTTCAAGAGCTATGTATTACTGGAGTTTTATGCGGTTTTTAATATACCATTATTAGTAAGATATTTGGATGTTGATTAAAATTTACCCATCCATCTTAAGGTATTATTTATTACTTTAAAAAATGTATACAAGAAATAAAAGCTATGTCTAGGAAAGGTGTAGATTAAAAAAATCTGTTTGAAAATTGCATTCCTTTAGAAAATTGACTTTAATCATGAAAATTTTAAAGAGGGAACAAAGGATTGTTTGTTGATCATTGAAATATTTGAATTTTGTGTGTGAAGCTTGAACAGATATCGTGGAAAATATTAATATTGCAGTAAAGTTTGTTTTATGAATATGCACTTAGACGGCTTCCTTTTAATGAATATTACTGATGTTTACCCTTAAATATCTGTTGTATTTTCACCTTTGTATGTACATGTGACACTAGTTATAATATACTTTATTAATTGCGCCGTTAGGTTTTATTATCTCGAACTCCGATGGTGGCTTACACAAACGATATGGTACGCTGGAAAGAGCAAATGGTGCTAGCAAAAATGAATGAATGTTTATTGCTAATTAATAGCCAACAATGATTACAAAATAAATAGGGTGATTGTATAATTTTTTAAAGAAGAAGTTCCACTGACTACATTTCAAATTATCCGGATTGTAGACGAATCATTGCAAAATAGAAGTCTTTGCATCGTTTTGATGAATACCCCATTGATGTCAAATTTCATGCAGCAAATTTCGACACAGACGCACTTGTCCAAGTGCAATCAGAAATTATGATCAAATGTGCCATAATCTATGTGTTTTAACATACAGTTGTGAAATAAAAAACCCTTACCATTTTACCTGTAAAAAGGACTATTGTTTTTTATTAATCATCTTGTGTATATGGGTAAATCCAGAAATAGACTTCAATCAAATTTAGTTCAAAGACCTTTTTAGCGGAAATGATTATCCAAATTCTTGTCAATTTTTCAGCAAACGTATATTATTAAGCAAGCAAATTTAGTATGAATAAAGAAGACAGATTTCCCGAACATTACTATAAAATTGTTGTCTAAACTCTATATGACCAGCATTCCCTACACTAGCATTAAATATATGAGAGAGATGACAGACATTTTTACTGAATGCCACGAATTGTCACACGCACGTAAATAGAATCTCGCAAAAAATTTGAGCCTTTTGATTCTGTGCTCCATCGACTTTTGCCCCATAATGATTCTCAGAAATCTCGAAATTTTCATTGCCTATCTTCAGAGCATAAGTAAAGGTTTATTTCGACTCCATAATCGGCATAGTAAACGATAATATAATTGATAAACACAAAATGAATAAAACTGCTTATAGAATCGGGAGAGCAAACAAAACCTCAAGTGAGGTTTGAAGCGTACATATTTTAAATTGGAAGGTATTGATAAAAGAGGTAGTACGTGTTCGCTCATCCAATTCAAATAAATAATGCTAAATATTTTACAAGGTGCAGAGGTGGGTGACACTGTTGATAAGCAGTGACGGATTTATTTCGAGTGCCGTGTAATTTACCCGTACACTCATTATTTGCTCGTTTTTTTTTTATATTATTAGGAATGAATAAAAGCGTTTTAGTGCGTTTAGTTTTTGGGGACTAGTTGAATAATGAGTGATGTTTATAAAAAGGTTGAACAGTATTCCTGGGAAATATGTTGCTATTCATTCACGATGCAAGAGTGTATTCAGCCTCTTAAGAAATGAAAGTGCAAAAAATGATGTGGATGCAAATATACGATACCCATATCAAGTTGTACAACCGGGTCGCTTGTCACCAATTAAGGCTGTTCCAGAGGTAAGTTCTGTTGATAAATAGAACATACTACTGTGCTAGGGATAAATATGTATAATCCTATCCTAGCCTAGATTCAGAGATTATTTATTTTGTTGTTTTTTCTATCATGAAATAGGTACTTTTATATTAATTTAACAATGCAAACAAAAAAGATTACTGGATTAAGTTATTCCATTGGTTATTATTGTATAATACTGATAATAAAAAAAACATGTAAAATTTGCGCAGATATTATGTGTGTTTGAACTCGCATTCAATTAATTGCACAAGAAAGCAATTTAAATCCTTCAGACCAATTTTTGCACTTATTTATGATCTATTTTGCATAGTCAAAAGGTCTGAAACGTGGGTACTATAAAAAAATGATTTCCTGAAATCAGTTATATTAAACATTTTTACACAGTTTATTGCCAAGCCTGACTACCGGAAGACCACGTTACTTTTTACTAATAGAGCAAGCTGTATCGCCATAAACAGTGAAGAAATGATTCGAAAGATGAAGGAAACTTGCCTTCTAGCTAAACATGTATTACAAACAGCATCCTCTGTGTTGGAGGTATTGATTTAGTATTGATGTTGTTGTGTGTTTATTTTGAGTATTCAGGCTATCTCTCTCGTATTGAGAAACATTAAATATCGTTTTCAAATATATTAATAAATGTATTACAAAAATATTTGACAAGAAATATTGAAAAAACTGTATTTCTTATTGTAATCTATGTCATAGGACATCTCTGTTGTTAATCTTCAGTCACTGTGCATTACTTGGTTCTCAATGAAAACAAAAATAGCAAATTATGTTTTTACTTAGCAAAATTGGAAAGAGTAAATACTTCTTAAAAAAAAATAGGCCTACATTGATGTGATTTTCTTTCTAATATTTTTAAGCCAGGTGTTGCCACAGATTACATCGATGAAATAGTTCACGCTGAGATCATAAAATGTGGAGCTTATCCTTCTACGTTGCATTATAAAGGTTATCCAAAGTCCTGTTGCACATCTGTAAATAATGTTGCATGTCATGGCATTCCGGACGACACTATTCTTCAAGATGGAGACATCATTAATATAGACATAACTGTTTTCTACCTCGGTTGTCATGGAGATACCTCTAATACATTCCAAATAGGGGATGTAGATGAAACAGGTCTAGCCTTGATATCGAGCACCCGTGAATGTCTAAATCGTGCAATTGATATTTGCAAGCCTGGTGCAAAATTTTCCGACATTCCTGAGGTTATTGAACCTTTTGCTTTGGAAAAAGGTTTGAGCGTTTGTAAAAAATTTGTTGGTCATGGTATTGGTCAACATTTTCATACACCTCCTAATGTATGGCATGTGAAGACTCATCGAGTTGATAAACGGAGAATGGAACCTGGTATGATATTCACTATCGAACCAATTCTAATGGAAGGTGATACGAGGGTCAAGATTTTGAGTGATGGATGGACAACAGTATCAAGAGACAATTTACGCTCTGCCCAAGCAGAACACACTGTATTAATAACACAAAGTGGACATGATATTTTGACACTGTGAAAATAATATTAATGGTGCAATAAAAATTCTTCAATGTTCCAAATTGTCTGGAGATTAGATTGTGTTTTAACTCTAGATCAGTAACTGGCAAACCTAATGTACTCTCGGGCCAAATATTAATTGCTGCCTATAAACAATCTGTTTCTGGTCTGCATTTGGTCCTGAGGCCGCACTTTGCCGGCCACTGCACTAGATCATTAAAAAGTTCATTCAATAGAATCTGATATCACCTTGTTCACATATTTATTTATTTTTTTCTTATGAATGTTATTTATCAATTCTGTCACACATCCTGAACTTATAATTGGTTTGTGAATTGAGATTGACTAGAATCAGTAGAGTGTAAACTTGATTTACCTTGTTCACATATTTATTTATTATCTGATGAATGTTTATTCAATTGTTATCAATTCTGTCACACATCCTGAACTTGTAATTGGTTTGTGAACTGAGATTGACTAGAGTCAGCAGAGTGTAAACTTGATTTATTTATAATATGGAATATTCTGACTGTTTGAAAGTTGTAGTATGTTGATAACTAGATTGATAATACCATGAACTTGTTAACTAAAAAAAAACATAATGTTATTTGCCTATTCTTGCTGGTTTGTATTCTCAGAAAAATATTGCTAGAACAGTAAATGTGCTATTGTTCATAAAATTTCAATATCTCCACATGAATGTACAAATACTCATAAATCAATTCAAGTTGCATGAAGTTTTACACACATGTTATTTCTTCTCACTGCTACACATAGAATGTCTCTTTATTATTTGTGGTACTGTAATATTTGGTGTGACTGTGAAGTGCTAAGAAATTTTGAAAATGGAATAATTACCTATTTCTATTTGATCAGGAGCACCTGCTGTTACATCCTGTTAAATGTTTTAACTCCATAATCTTATTCACCAACTGAATGTTATCGTTGTTACAGGGTATTTATGTAGTGGATATGAAACAAATAGCTAGATTGTGTGGGTATGCTGCGGCTGCGTTCTGTAGCGGTCAGTACATGTGGAAAAACATTGTGTCCGTGCACAAAGTCCAGGGTCAGTCTATGTATCCTGTACTCAATGAACAGCGAATGAAATCTGATTGGGTTATTATCAATGAAACGATTGCAAATCACCTGGATAAACTACAGAGAGGGGATGTAGTTGTATTTCGGAGTATGAGAAACCCAGCCGAATATCATATTAAAAGGATTGTAGCATTGGAAGGTGACACTGTAAAGACATTGGGATATAAAAATGAATTGGTCAAGGTCCCAACAGGCCACTGTTGGGTGGAAGGAGATAACCATGCAATTAGTGAGGACAGTAATAAGATTGGTCCAATACCAATGGGACTTATAACAGCCAGAGCAAGTTATATCTTGTTTCCTCATTTTAGAAAAATTCGACCAAAATTTGTTCATGATCGTGTCTCTGTCAATCCTAATGTTGAAAAGGATGTTTTGAGATATTTGAATGATTTACCGTCTGTAATTTTATGAACACACTGTGCAACTACTCGAAGGCTGTAGCCTATGTTACTATTTCCCTAAACTAACTTTCTTGATTATAAAGAGCATTGCGTTACAGATTTTTTTTGTTTTTGAAGGTTAATTTTTTGCTCCAAATACTGTGGCCATTAGGGCATAACTGCGACCAATCAAATTGGGGTGAAATATAAGAATGCTCGTTACAGTTATTTATGCCATGTTCAGGTTCATTGATAAAAAATTTACAATTAATTCTGACACCTTACTTGTGTAGTATCGAAATCAAGGTGCTAAACCATATTTTCTTATTTGCCAATAAAGTCTTGTACTGTATCTATTATTATACATTTGGGTTCATTGATGTTTCACTATACAGCAGTACCCAGATTCTCATGCTTAGAAAACTGATAACCTCACAAGTTTCTAGATGTGTATGCCTTTTGTCCAGCCACTATATAAGCTAATCGTTTGAGCCTATGGTTCATGAACCTTGCGATCGGACCATCCAACTTCTTGTATTTAACTATGCACCAAGTGAATTATTCATCTAAACTAAATCTACAGTTTCAGAAGACCAGTAGTTCAGTCATACAGCCTGAAAAGTTGACACATCAGAGCTTATATATTTTAATCCCAGAAAATTAAAAATCATGGCTGTGCCTGTAATGCATTTAGGTGTATTATTTATCAACACTAATAATTAACAATTTACTGTAGCGATTGAAGCAGTTCGGGTTAAATAAGGTAAATGGGGAACAAAGAACGACCGCTCTTGGATATCGGTCCGGAAATGAACGAACAACATCTATTTGATTCAAGAGTCTTGCTGTAGGCTAACTAACACAAATGTATTTCTGTATCGTTCCATCAAGACTTCTTCAGACAAGCATTTTTCAACTATCAACTGATAGTAACATCTAGAACTGTGTGGTTATGCAACCAACCCTTTGTGGCTATAACGGAACCCCTATGAAAATTTCGGAGGCTCGGGAAAACCCCTGTACAAAATAATTTGTCTGAACCTAACTAATATTGACAAAACAGAATGAATGATCTCTAAATGTGTATGTATGTGGCAAGTTTATTAATAGTGTCATATATTAAAAGATACTCAGATTTGCATTCTGGACACAGTATGGTCAACCAAAACCACTTATCTAGAAATACAACTTGTTTTACGTAAGACGCAAGTTAGCCCTGTCTACCGGCAAATTATTAAACAAGTCCACATATTCCTCTAGCTGGCTTTCCTGAACATTTTTAATCTGTTCAACAAATCTATACATTTAGTTTATTACAAGAAAGAATGCAGGAGTAAAGATCAGTAAATATGACATATATATATATTGCTATAATAAGTGATGAAGGGCAAGAAATATTAAGGAATGATTACAAGCGTGTACTAACTGGAATTAAGTGTGAAGGCACCTAAAAGATATAGATAAAAGTTTTGGTCAATCTGATAGTGGAATAAAAAAGCCATTTTTTGCTGTTATAGGAACCGGTAGTTGTGTTCAATCTTCGTTAAAATACAGATGTTTTCTCCATCGCAATGACAATTTTAACTAGAAACTTGAAAGAAATGAACTATATACAGTTTCAAACTACTAAGAATAGCAGAGACTACAGAGGTGAAAAGGAATAACCTAGGCAAAAATCACAATCTCAAATATTGTAAGCAGGAAGACTTCAAACCATCCCCAACAGCAGTGGTTTTCAATTTTTTTGATGGAGATTGTCCAATTACCCTTTGCTTGAATTGTATAAATATACATGAATGCAAGCCTAATACTGGCAAAATAAAGCGCTTTGATGTGTAGCATAATAAGTATTTGATGTTACAGACTCGAATATACTACTTCCGAATTTAAATGGAAACTGGCAACTCCAGTTTTAAACCACTGCTCTGCAGAGTACAACCTTGTCCGACATTTACATTGAATCAATTATGTTATAATTCTACTCCCATTGGTCAAAACATCTGGTTCGGGCGTACCAGTCCCCTCATCAAACTGTGTTAATCAATAAGACTAAAAGTCCAATCATAAATCTACGCTGTAACATTAATCTCTATGAAGGTAAACAGCAGCGATTAAAGAAGAAAATTCATTCATTTAGGTGAAGAAACTGGAAGTAGAAAATGTAAAAAACAAGCAAAAATATTGCGAAAAATACTTGAAATAAATTCATTATAACATAATTCAACAGGCAACACCACAACTTAGCAGCAATACCTTGCTCATCAAACAAAAATTAGAACATTGCAGTAAAAGCTATGACAGATCAACATGATTATAGAAAAAAAAATTTATAATTCAGTATAATACAATAGAAAAGTTAGTTGGGCATTACAAAAAGCTAAAACAGCACATCAAACCACTATTACACCAAGAAAATGATAAAACTCGAGAGGATGTATCTGACTGTAATAAACACATTGGTTGGACATCACTCCTGCTGGTATCTGTGGGCCACCCTCTATTGTCGTTTAACATAACGTCACTTAAACGTGCGAATACCCCGACAGTGGAGCCTGTAGTGTCAACCTTAATTAGATCGACTAAACAAATGGGGCGTTAACGATGTGACACGTTTTGACGGCCCCATCTGTTCAGTCGATCTAATTAAGGTTGACACTAAAGGCTCCACTGTCGCGGTATTCGCACGTTTAAGTGACGTTATATTAAACGACAATAGAGGGTGGCCCACTGATACCAGCACTCCAATCTAGAGCAGTGCATGTGACACTAAAATTGTTCCACTACAGCGGTGTGGCCTCTATGGTTATATAAAGCAATCCTCCAGAGCCAGATGTCATGTATTTACATCCCACTACAACACAGAGGTATATATATCAGTTGATATATCGCCAATCAATTTCCGCAGAGCTCTAGTTCACAGCCAAAGGTGCTGTTGCAGTAGTAGTTTGACTGAAATCAAAAAATGCATACTGCGGAGTGAAGCTAGTATCAGGTGTTCTGACATCTTCTTCATTAATCTCAGATGTTTCCAGATCATCGTCAACCAAAGCAGCTCCCCCTGTCACTGCTTCTTCATAGCTTGGCAATGGCACAGATGCAAAAGCACCTGGAAAAAGATTATCATACACTTAAACAATATATACCCTGATTTTCAATATGGTTCCTAATTTCATTTTGTTGCAAAATTTTCCACTGGGAAATTACTGACACTAATATCAATGATGCACAACACAAACTTCCCTATTTGTTTCCTTAGTAACCAATCAGCAATAAGTTGACAGAAAAATTTATTTCAATGACCAATCAGCAACAAACCTGATAGAATAATTGAAATTAGTGCATCTATTCAACACTTTCTCATTCGGACAGAATTTCAAGCATAGTTGCAAACATTCGCTCGTTTTCATAGTTTTGCTATCTGGCATTTTCTAGTAGGGTTTCCGAAATTCTATTACACATAATAGATCACATTACTCAAGGGTCATTTCGTCTTCCGAGGGGAGTAGATTAGCAAAAAATTGGCTATAAAGTTGGCTGAATATTTTGTGATCAAAGTGATGGTTATTAACATGCATACCATCTTGTAATAATGATAATGTATGGAAAGAATTTCAAATATTGACAAAAACTTTCACACAGTGTGTTTTCAACACAAATTTGAATTACGAACTTTTATTCCAGACGTATACTAGACAAAATAATATAGCTCTTAAAACACTGGTTTATGCCATCTTCAATTTTAAAATCTTCTGCCTAATCAATTTACACTGCAAATTGCATCTTACTGTCTCCTGGATCATAAGCAGGTGGAGGTGCGCTCGGCTCAACAGAAAATTCCAAGGGTGGAGCAGTTGCTACTGCTTGAGGTGCAGAATATGATACTGCAGGCGGGGGTGGTCTAAGTGGAGGTGATGTCATCAACGGAACACTACCTATTGTTAGATAGTTGCTACGACCAGATATTTCTGATCCACCCACGCCACCCGGAACAATCATCACAACCTGAAATGAAATTTACTTTACTAAAAACTAGACGATTTAATTTAAAAATTATGTGTTTGTTACATTTCAGCCACAAGAAAAAGTGTATGTAAAATGAATTACTTTTGTGAATTAGATTTAGACTCGAGCACAGTCTATGAATGTAATTCACTTTATTAAAGTCGGTTGCTACAACAATTGGTTTTAATTTTCATATTACACTACAATATTCAAATAATGTAGAAATGTATCACAAAAAACATATTTAAATATTTAAATCCTAGTACTCCTAGAGATGAGAATGTTTTTATCAAACTATTTTGTCTGCTTTATATAAACATACCGTAAATGCGCGTTTTACCGCCCGATCTTGAACAAGGGCCCGTTTGAATAGCCGCCCGTGTGAACAGAACATAAAAATAAATATGGGCCGGTGCTTGAATACACGCCCGATGTAAAAGCTGATATTTCAGTGGTAGAAAACAATAGGAAATAAGAAGCGCTTTTGTCACAACGCTCTTGAATTTTAAGCGCTGGTAGATAACACTCACGCCTTAGGCGTCCAATTACAAACCAGATAGCATTTGTTTTAAAAATAACAAGCGCCCGTGCTTGAATAAGGGCCGGTTTGAATAAGGGCCTGGTTAGTGAGTTTGGGTAAAAAAATATGGGTCCGGACTACAAAACGAGCAAATACGGTATGTCAAATTAATCTGCTTCAAATTTAATAATAACCGCGAGAAGGTTTAAGTATTTATAGATAAAATTTTCTTTTTCCAAAAACATTCATGTGACAATGTGATACTTGGTTTAACCTAAAACAAGAAACTCTGGTTCACCTTCAAATAATATTGCACATCAATAACTGAGCAATTTCTTAAACCAGACGGAATCAATGGTGGGATTTGCATCAGCTGTTTATTCTGCCAGTTCTCTGCACCATCGCCACCAATGGCAGATGACATTGTCCATGTTGAAACAGCCTTAGACATTTCATGTGTAATGATAGCAGAATTTGGAGCTGAATTTTTTAATCTCCCAAAGAATGTAACCAACTGCCATAGCTCCACCTTTAATGATTTTATAGGTCGTGACCTGTGAAATGAAAATGCATCTCAAAATATATTTGTAGTTTTACGGCCAATGGTTGGGGGAATTGGAGTCAACAAGCCACTGTTATGTTTCAACCAGCACCAATACCCGGCTTACAATTATGAGCATAAAATATACAATATCAATGAATACAAAATTGCAAAACTTTATTCCAAAATCAGACACTTTATGTAATTCAACTGAAACCTACTGCATTATAATAATAATTTTTTCTATGAATCAAAAAAAATGCAATTTCGCCAAAATCTAAGATTGCATTGCAGATTTAAGACATTGTAACAAACAGCCAACTACTGCTATACCAAATTTGAAAGATTTTACCCTTTCTAAACCTGATAGAAGCACTTTACAGTAAAATTTGTACTGTATAAACTTGCATATGAAGATGTAAACTACTTTTTCTATTTCTATTTAATATAAATGTAATGGAGAGGTTGGATATCTTAATAAGTTTTCAGAAAAGTTATGTATAAACTCAACAAATATAAATCAAAGCAATCTCACAATGTCTAATTTTTTTCAATAAATAAGTCATATTTATATTTACATATCGCCAGTACAATACCATTTTCTAGTTTCACTACTTTGAAAAGCCATACCATTGCATCGGTGATATTTTACCTATGGAAGTGTTTGTACAATGTTATTCACCAACCTCCCATTTACAATGATTCCATTCGCCTTAATGAATTCACCGGCAACATATCCTGTTTTTTCAGTAGCTATATCAACAGTAACTGCGCCCTTTTTCCACCAACACATTCCACTTGCTTTCTTTTCGCAATGTATTCTTAGTGGAGTCTAAATTTGAAATAGAGCATATTAACTATATTGCTATCATATGCAAAAGTACCTTTATTAATAAATATCATTTATAGTTGGATGTGATGGTTCATTACCCCATATCTAGCTGTGGCTGTTTGTGCTAAAATTAGCAACCTGGAGACATTCAGAAAACAACAGGGATTTTTGGCATTATCATATTTCCAGATGCGTTAGCGGCTTGATTGAGTGCCTCAACAAATTTGACTAAAGCAAGGTCCTGCGTACTGATTGGTCTTTGAGTGAAAGTACAAGCACCAGAGTTAAATTAAAACTATAAATGATCTATAGTAAATCATTATATTGCAGAATTTCAAGGTCCTAGTCTTGCATGGTCAAAATATAAAAACATTATTCGGTATAATTGGTAACTTAGATCTTAGAAGTTCTTAGAATTTGTGTCAATATTAAATGAGAGACTTTAGGATATTAACATAGTGCTCATACTCATCAAATAACATACGCCAGAGTTTACTGCCTTAATAATAGCTTATGTCTATATGTTGATCAGTTACAAACTAACGTCTGAGTAAATGTAAATATGAGCACAATGATTAATAATAAATATTGTCAGTTGTCACATTTATCGGGATTATTCTTGAGATATGACATAGTGTAATCGAGTTGGACCAGCTTGTAATATTAGCCCATCAAATAATGATTAGTTTATAGAATCTGAAACTTATTTCATTTTTTTAAGATAATTTTTCCACTTTAAATAATCCAAACGTCATAATGAGCATTTCGCATCTCCCATCACTTACAATACCATTATGAATTACATTTTTACGCTCTGTATGTGCAGTTTATATTTTCCATATGATGAACTAATGATTACTAGTGACTGCTTTGTCTTTAATTTTGAAGCAATATTTTTTCCTTTTCTGACTTCAGTGAAGAATTGGCGAATCGAATCACAGATACAAAAACATTGATCAAAATTCGAGTTTACTATTTTTGAATGCAAAACCCTGAACTGCTCAGTACCCCTAGCAAACTTTATTTCCCATTTTTATGAGTCTTACAAATCATCGATATACAAAATTTGATTAAACAATACAAAATTGTCTAAGAATTTAGTCTCCAAAATATAGCAAATCTATCCTTTTTCAAAGCAAACAAAACAAGTTTCAACTTCTGCTGATCATGAGTTCGTGGTGGTTAATAAGTATTCGCTCAAGGCCACATTGCTATCATATAAACAATTAAACTTCCTTCGCATTGACTTAAATTTACTAACCCTTGATGATGGCATATTGTTCAAATCAACAGTATCCAATACTGTGAATGCTGATAAACATTTGTCTCGTGATGATAATATTCCAGGATATTCAACAACTGCTTTAATACTGTATCGTACATGCCCATAATTTCCTATAAAATATAGAAATAAAAGAGTGGTTGATACCTATTTCGCTTCAATTAACATTATTATATGAACATAGGAACGAAAGCCTGAAAACAGAATATGACTAAAAAAGGAATCCTAAACCTAAAACTATACTGATTATATATTCCATTAAGTTATTAATGCTGTATATATTTGTGATTGGTGACTTGGTGTGTACATATTCTGTGGACCAGACAATAACAATGTCTCGCTCAGAACAAATATTTACTATGTGTGACTTACTTTTATAGCAGTGCCAAAAATATTTGGTTGAAAGCAAGGTGATAAAATTAAAGCTTGTTAACATTTAAAGTTTCAAATGGTTTTGCAATTTTCAAGAGCAGAACATAATGAAAATGTATGATATCAACATTATGTAGTTTGTGTGAATGGGATATGACTTATTAATATCATTATTCATACCTTCAAAAGACGTTGGCAAAGCTTGCTTCAGCTGAAATTGAAACGGGTACCTGTGCTGACCAGCCTGAATATCATGATCTGAACCTGTAAATACAAATAGTATCTTTCATCTGTGACCAGGGATGGCCAATATCGAATAGTTCACTATTTCGAATACATTCGAAATTATTATTTTCGAATATGAAATTTCGAATACTTCGAAAATAAAATCCAGTAATAGAATCTAAGTGTATGAAGGAATTTTCATACAATAAACAATGGAATAACTTCTATCTACAACCTGGCTTTATTACCAGGCATTTCATGTTTGCAGATTATTGCGATATATATTTTATATAACATGAGTTGTGTTAATTAACAGAATTAAAATAATACGACAAGGCATTTTAAATAGTGGTATCGGTGATGGATTTGAATGCGTGCGCAACACAAAATCATCCTAGTAAAACACCCATACTTTTAAATACCAACCATTATCCAAATTATTTGTCAAAAAGCGGGATAAAGTATGAGTTCTTTTTCAGACTTGTGACAATTTTTTCGTGAGTACAAAAATACGAATCAAAAAGTAATTATATTCGGGAACTTTACCACACATTTTAAGTCCGCAGATCGCCGTTGTATGTTTGTGTAATAATACTTTTATTATTTTATAAATACGAAAATAGGGTTCAAAAACTATTTATAATCGGGTAGTTTACCACACATTCAATGTCCACAGATCACCGTTGTATTTTGTAAATACGAAAATAGGAATCAAAAATTAATATCAATCGCGAGTTTACCTCACAATTTATGTCCACAGAATGCCGTGATATTGTGCCCGAATATAATTAATTTTTGATTCTTATTTTCGTACTCACGAAAAAATTGTCACAAGGCGGAAAAATAATTTATACTTTATTACACATTCAAGTACACAAATCGCCGTTGTATTTTTGAGTTATAATAGTTTTATTATTTTGTAAATACGAATCCGAAATTAATTATAATTGGGCAGTTAGTTTACCACACATTTCATGCCCACAAATACCCGTGGTATTTGGTATAAATCCTTCCTTTATCGATACTTTTGACCAACATTATCAAAATTATTTGCCAGAAAGCGGGTGAGAGTATTTTTCCAATAAATCAACTTGTGACAATTTATTGGATATCGTAACAATTACGGCTATAGATACCGTATTTCCCGGCTAATAAGTCTACATGGCAAATAGGACGATGTATATTTTTAGCACTCAAAAAAAGGGGGTTTTCCATATAGGCCTCCAAGAAGACGGGTAGAAAAATTGTTCCCTGTTGTTCAGTTATGCTAATATGCGCTAATAATAATGTTTAGTAGAATCATACTCACAGAATTAACTATTTTTAACAATAAAGCGGTAATTTAAAGTTAAAAATCACAATCATTTTGAACAATCTATAATTTTATAGGGTCAGAACAGAACCAGATCATGTTTGTTTGGTAGAATCATACTCACGGAATTAACTATTCTCAACAACGAAGCGGTAAATTTAAATTATAAAGCGGCAATCATTTTGGACAACCTATCAACCCGAATGTTGAAATAATTTTGAAATGTGATAAGTACCACACGGTACGTCCACGGGTTATTTCACAGCTGTGTCTCATGTCCCTGTCGTTTTCTGCTGAATCGGCAAAACCAAAGGGTCATAAATCACTTACTTTATCTCGGTGGCGGTGGCCGTGTTTTCTCTTTTAAGTAACGATAACCGGCCTACGATTAAATAGCATGATTGGCAGACCCATAAGAACCAAATATATATAAGGTTAACACAAATTATGCTTGAGAAGACTAATGCGAAAAATAAGCAGGCCACATAGAAATAAAATAAACATGCTTTCTCTATAAGGCGCCCCTCCCCCCAAAAAATCAAGCCAAAATTGGGTCTAGAAAAGCGACTTATTAGCCGGGAAATACGGGGATTGTCGATTTTTCGACTAATGGAAATGATTTTGTGAATTAAAAGACGAATGTCGGCAATGTCCACCAACGCAAACGTGCAAATGTGTCGTAACACTATGCGACGTACATTCGCGCTGAATATAAACAATCAAAATGCCGACTCTATTTCATCGTCATTACAATACGTGAGAAAGCGTAAAAAGTCGTTTGAAGATTCCGGTAAAACGAAACACCGTGTTTACGGCGAAAAGTGACTACTATTCGTAATTATTCGGAAATGAGCCGAAAAGGTATTCGAATACTTTGATATTCGAATAATTTCGAATATTCGATTCGTTTTGGACAACCCTGAGACTGTGACTTAAAGTTATAATATTTATTTCTAGTTTAAACATCAGTACTGAATCATGTTGTGCCAGGTATTTCAGAGAATACATAAATTCTTTAATTAGAATCCTATTAACAGCCAGAACACAAAACCAGCGATGACAATGACCTTTTTAAAATTTGAATAATTCCTATAGATATTGATTTATTCAGAAGTCATGAAACGTCACTAAAATTGGAACACAGTGTCTGATATTCCAAGAAATATTTTATTTCATCCATCACAAAGTACGGTAAGTCAAAGATAATTAGAATCATGTATATTTAATTTCAGCTATTAATACTAAAAACTGTGAAATCCAAATTTGTGAAGTATAATTCTCTTCAAACATAGCATGGTACATGGCTATCAGGTAACTTCAATATGATCATGGAGATTTCAAAGGGCATCACCTTATTGAAAAAGGCAAACAACTTAGCAAAATGTGAGAAGGGTAATGAGGTTCTCACATTACTAAACTTATGGGAAAAACCTGTCAGACCCTTCAATAATATTTACTTTATGGTAAAAAAAAAATGGTGAAAAAAAATTCGACGGTTCTTACCTGCAAACACATCAAATGTAAAATGAAAATATTTCTCTTGATTTCTGAGTTGTTTGCCATCAGGAGTCTTCAATTTTATGATTGATTCTCCGACAGCATTGACTTTAATTTCTAGAAAAATTTTATCAAGTACTGTGAATAATATATAAAAAAAAGTATGCACTGAGTGGAACCAAAAAATTTGGAATAGATCAATAAAAAATAAATTATGGAAGTCTTTTCCTCAAGATAATAATGAATATATATGAAGTTATTTATGAACATATATACTGTACGATAAGATAATTTATTTTAAACAATTCCATAGTACAAAAAAGATGATAACACATAAGACAAACACACGGGACATAATCTCAAATTTCAGGAGTTGCCAAGACTTCGAATGAAGTTCAAAAATGATACATAAAGTACCACACATTCAATCTCATTTTCTAACAAAACTATAATCAGTGAAGAAAATACAAAAAGAATATAATAAGATTGTGAGCATCATGATAATATAATGCATGAGAAGTACAAACAAAAACAGTAAATTGATAATAACACGAGAGGATGGTGACAGAGACAGCACTATCACAGTGTTAGGCTTTAGGCTTGGATTACGTTAACAACACTCCTGTAAGTAGCAACGAGGGCAGTGGAAATACAAACAATAAAGTGATAAGATGATGGCTATGGAGACAGGGAGATGATGACTAAGTTTTCACAGAAAATTCATTTATACAGATCAATCATTATACAGAATACAATACATCAACAAAATAAAATCGCCGTACTTTTAATTTTCTTTGGTTTTTTGAGTTCCACCTCAACGGCACCCTGCACATAATCACCAGGCGCATATACCTTGCGATTATTTAAATATGTTATGGTCAAGCCGTGCTTTCCCATATCTTTGGATGAATTTAATAAATGAACATGACAATCAATACTGTAAAATAAAAGACCAGTGAGATTATGTGTACTTTCGCAAATGCTTTTTGTCTGAATTTTTTATTTCAATACTCCCTCAACTTCCGAACTATTTCAAAACTTAGTCGAAAATGAGTTATGTCCTAGTTAAATAATTCTGTATTATTAACAATCTATTTCAACTTTAGTCTGTTAGACTACTGTTATAGTATTCTACTTCTATGCAGATATGGTCCATTCATTCAGTCATTGATGGTTTTGATCAATATATCCATCTTTAGAGTTGACAAAAACAAATAATTTACTATTCCAATCATATCTGCATATAGCCTACTAGTGTAATATTTCCTATTCAAAAACATTTTTTAAAATATGTAATATTTTTAAAATATAGGCTAGAGATCAGGCATTGTCAATTGCTCAATGACTGAGACTGACAACTTATTCTGTATATCAAAAATACACTGTAGGCTATATAGAAATACAGAAATAAAATACAGAAATTTTTAATAATGCTGCTCAAAGAAGTGTCGTTCTTCCGACGAACAAACACTAAAACAGGATATGCGTATAGCCTATTTCTGTATTTTCATACAAAATTCATATTACAGTATTAAAATATTTTCCTCGAATTACTGGCATTTCATCACCTAATAGCTCCAGGTACAGAAGTAACACGATTACATTCAAAAACACTTGTAACTGTGAAAATTAATGGCAATTTCCCATGCAGCCACTTCAGATGATAATAAAATCTCATGCAGTGATGCTGAGAAGCAGGAATTTGATGAATCATCTTCAAATTAATTAATATTTACTATCAAACTTATTTCAATTTGAACTTTTTAAATCCATAATCCCCCATCAAGTTGGGCATTTCTCCTAACCCAGTAACCATAGAACAATTCGTTGGGTCTGGTATAGTTTAGTACCGGTACCACATGCAGACATCCGAGACATGTCTGTGGTATGGTACCGTATGTATGAATACTCTCTGTCTCTCTTGGCTGGACTCAAATGACAAAATTAGCAGAAAGTTGCGCGTACCAGTACGGTAAATAGGAAGTATAATATGCAAAATAGGCCTCATACTGTAAGCTTATGCGTAATATCAGGTAATATCTGTATTTCAGAATCCCTAAAAGCTAGCACGAACAAAAACCACGACCACCAGCAAGTCATTCAACTGCTTTGTCATGTCTCATGATTCGATCGGTACTTTTTGGTCGAAGCCACGTGACCATTTGTTGTGACTGTGATGTTTTAATGATCACTGTGACGTCATAATTCTTACCGCTCACGTAAACGTCAATCTGGCATCAAATTCATAGCCCTGTTGTCTGCGCCCGCTTCAGTGTATTTCTGTGGGGGTGATGGAGGTTGTGGGGGACGAAAACTCTTTCGAAATTACTCTCATAAAGGACCTACGACCGGAACCATCTCCATTGAATCTGGTTGGGTTAGTTATATGTAAACATTCGCCAAGACAATTGAAAGACCCCAAGTCTAACGAGCAGAATGGGGGAAGTCGATATGTGATGAGCTTCACTATCCGCGATGTTTCAGGTCACATTAATTGTAGCCTATGGGGAAACGAGCCGTTTGTTATGAATGTATGTCAGAGTTTTCAAATCGGTGATTTTGTTACTCTGTCTAACGGCCAAACTACCATGAAAGGCCCTTCTGACGAGATATTCAACCCATCAAATTCGAGTGCGTTCAATATAACAATCAGCGAAAAGTATGGCGGGAATATCTTGCCATGCGATGTTCTACCAGAATTAAAGCAACTGCTACATGCTCCTATACGACCGAATAACGATTATTACACACTGGAAGAGTTGATCGAACAAGGAGAACGGATGAACGGAGAATACGTGAACATCCTCGCGGTCGTACGAAAGATTAGTTCAGTTCAACACTTGAAAACAAAAAATGGTAAAGACCTGGACAAGATGGAAGTGTCATTCTTTGACAACACGTCAGATACATTTACCGTAGTGGTTTGGGAGCGGGAATACTTTAGCTACATTCAACAATGGACAGAAAAGAGATCGGTTATTTTTGCCGCCGATGTGAGACTGAATCAAAACAAGTTTAAAAATTGTTTGCAAGGAACATTTACAAGTAAAACTGTATGCATAAGAGATCCAGACACAGGTAATGCTCACCAACTCTACGACTACGCTCTGGAATATGCGGACCGGATGGAAGAACTTTTCGGAAACAGTAAGGATGATCTTGGAAATGATATTCAGAACCTTGACGACGATGAGCTACAGACCTTCACAGTTGAAGAAATCCTTGCTGCACAAAAAGAGATGACATCACAACACACCGAAGAACCCCATAAGCCCAATGCCAAAAGGGGTTTTCTCCAAGCAGCCATAACCAGCTTCAATATAGATGATTCAAAAAATATCTGGTGCCTCAGATGCTCATCTTGCAGATATAGAATATCATCCGACGGCTCGAAATGGTGTCCAAACGAGCAATGTGTGACAAGGCAGGACACTTCCAAGTTCTCTGTCGAACGCACATTCGACCTCCAGATGTCACTATCAGACCATACAGGTACGTTGGACCAATGTCGTATCGGTGGCAAGGCAGCTGAAAACTTGTTTGGAATCACAGTGGATGGCTTAGAATGCCTTACAACAGAAGACTTAACAGATTTAAAATGGTCATGGTTAATGGAAAGATGCAGAGTTCGCTTCAGGTTCAGCTTTGATCATCCAGCTTCTAGACCTCGGATAGAGAGATGTGAAAAGCCGAGCCTTGAACAGGCATTGAATGGAATTAGAGTATGAAAGAATTAAATTACTACTACTGCTAGAGACATCAAAAGAACAAGATTTCCATTTGTTTCCTTGGCTGGATCCTGTCTACGCCGAGAATGTATCAAACATACCAACAAAACAATTTAAATTGAATAAATTTATTGACTATTTTATTAAGAGAGATCAAAATTTTTTATCAATATTATACATAACTCTCCAATAAATGATCTTGAAAAAACTTGGCCTACTCTAGAACAGAGCACGTTTTGTCTACACCAATGACATGTTGCTGTAAATTGCCCTTTAAGGCAATATGTGCACTGCCATACAGTCGAGATAGGGAATTCAGGCAAAAGTAATATTCATTTAGTGCACAAACACATCCTCTAAATTAACACAAAAAATATAAAGCATTAGGATTTACTAAGAGCGTCATACTGTTCGGATGGCATCATGGAAAAGATATGGGTGTCTCATTGATGTTATTCTAAATCTAAAAGCTGAACCGCTTGCTTTAAGTGAACAGACCTTGAATTGGATACTATCATGAACTCATTGCAGCAAAAGAGAAAAGCGGTTCAATGAGATAAATGCTGCACTGACCATCGCTGTTATGTCAATCCATCAAGAAATAGTATAATATACTAAGTGAGAGAAGTCACTCTTCTGTGAAGTAAAATACTTGTTACTCCAAGGCTGTGTTCTGTTGATTTAGCTTAGAATCCTGTGAAGTTTGTCTTAGAATCCTGAACCTGCCGCATGGCTCAACCATGATTCTATTCAAAATATGTAGATCACCAAGTTTCGAATAAACCAAAATTTAAAAAACGCCCAGAAGAATTGGTCAAATCATATTTAATTGCTTTTTCCATTCTACTCGGTGTGCAGACTTAATATAAATCATCTCCATGTGTTTCCCATGCTGTTCTCCTATGATATTTCAGATCCCAGATGCGCCAGCTGAAACAGCAATAAGTTGAAATTAGTGTTAAAAATGTTGTACTAAATTTAAATTGACGATTGCTTATTTTCTGCAATCAAATTATCCACTGTGAAAGCTTATGATATTAAATTCATTTTTCAGTCAGGAAAGTCTAAACTAAATCAAATCGAAAAAAAAAAATTATAAATTCCTTTGGAGTTTCAAATGGAAATTTGTCATTTTGAGCATTACATTTTTTAAAACCATAATTGCCTCGAAATAATTCCAGAAAACTATAGAAAATAAAGAACTAATCAAAAACTTGACTTAGAAAATTCAAATATGTTGAGTATACAGACTTCTAATTACCCCCGCTTGAACATGATCTAAACTAGAACATATTTTACATTTAATATTTAAAAATATTATTTAGGAAAGTATTAAGAATAAAGGGGTCTATTACATATAGTAATCTATGACTCCAGTACAGTAGTTAAAGAATTTCTGATGAGAGAGATTTAAAAAATATATATAATAATAACAAACCTGTTTTAAAAATTGTGAAGCATTGAATAATTCACTACATCCATATGATATTCTTTTACCAGATTTACTCTGCAAAAATAAATCGTTGTCAATACATTTATAACTAATTTTTAATGAAAGAAAATTTTGAAATTGATTGATTACCTTGACATAATCCATCAAATTTTGATACTCAATGTAGTTGCCTCCACCAACAAGAAATACAATTGCCTGAAATTTGAATACGTTTAATTGGAAGTATGCACAAAAGATTTAAACTGTGGTCTTTTCCATCTCATATGTAATACTTTAAATTTAAGGTCATGGTAAACATAGATGGGTATAGCACAAACAGTGTTAACCCCATTTTGTGAAATTTTATTTCTTGAAGCAGGTTTTGTCATATTTTGTACAGAGTGTGAATCACTATTCTGTTAGGTCTATAAAAACAGGGGGTTACTGGGGTATTGCGTGTTAATGAGTCCTTTCCCCATGGATAGCAGGGGCTTTCCCCTTGTTTACTTCGAAGACGCATGTATTCATTGCCATAGGGATGCTTGAACGAGTAGAATTGTAAAGATAAATAAGAATGGCATATTCTCCATTGGGCAACGGGACAGATTAGGTCAAGAATAATGTGACAAACATAGGCATGAACACTTGTAAAAGTGTTACTCTGAGCAAACAATGTGAAAACAAATAAAATATGTAACGAGTTATCAAAATAAACTATGAAAATAATCATCACCTCAGAGTAAGGTACTTTGTTTCTTGCACCACCTTCCATAGATTTCGCTAGCTTTGGATCAAAATATCTGTAATTATCAATATCCTGAAAACAATATGAAAATCCTTATATAAAGAGGGATGAAGACTTATAAATTGACCATTGTTTGAGAAGATTATTTAATGTAGAAAGCAATGCACAAATATATTAATACAAAAGTATTTTAACAATGCTGTTTAACAATCATGGAATCACTGGATTCAATTAGCATAAAATTTGCATGGTGGTGGCGCATATTGAACACCCACCACAACCCAGAGGTGCATTACTTCAAAAGCAGAAAATTTGGGAAGTGCCACAAAGCACCCCAGACAAAGCAATACTGTCAATGAAACACTTCCATCTTTAACCAATGAAAATTTCAAAGCAATTGAACCAATATTTAAAGAGAGTGAGCCACTCTTCTCAGCTACAGTTTTGAAAAGTAATTAAAAAAACATACTATGTCCTGTAAATGCATCTTACCGTATTTGATTTCATTTCCATAAGCGAATCTACTATTCTTGTGACCGGTAAGTTCTGTAAAATAACAGAAAATCTAAGTTTAATATCTTCAAAAATTGAGAATTATAAATAAAATAAATCCAACAATAATTAATACAAATGACTTACGTGTTTCTTGACAACTAAATTTTTCACTCCTTCCATCACAAACTGAGAGCCAGTGCTCATGATGTGAGAGAACATTCTGTAAAAATTATAACAATTAGGCAATGTTGCAATGCAAAAACTATATTAAGAAGTCTTGGTGGTTTCCAAGCGTTTTGTGTAAAATGCTCTACAGGCAATTGCAGTCGACCATTGAAGTATAGAGAGCTCTTGCCACAAAAGCTGTATCAGCAAAGTCACAAATCCTCTATCAGCAAAGTTTTCTCTGCCCTCGAAGCCATGGGCATGAGACTTTGCTTGAGCAGTTTCACATTGAAATACAATGATATAAAAAGCTAATAAAGTCAGGAAAAGTCATACTCCACAATAAATCATGAATCATTAATTTTGGCATTATATCAAGTTTATTTAATATTCTTCATTCAAATTAACTCACCCAATAGTCTTGATACCTCCACCTCTATATTGCTGTGGGGAGGAACTGGAATTCATCATTGAATATTGCCTGAAAAAATGGGTTTACCAAAGTTTTGTTAGATGTACTTTACATTTATCATTTTATTCAAATCTAGCCTCAAATAGAGACGATATGAATTGCAGTATCCAGATACCGTATCTCAGAAACAGGATATCTCTATTCTATCATAGCAATTGTAATTATACGCGAAATAATGAATACACAAAAATTTGTTAAAAAGTTAACAGGTGATAATTATCTAGGAAAAGCTTTGATGTCAACTTCACTTTAAAATCACAACAACTCTCATTTACCGCAGTAAGGAGAATGACCCTAATCACTGATTAACGGCTAAATTCACTTCGAAATATATATTTATACTTCAATTCAATTTTAAATATTCAACTCTGTTTAAATAATGCTATCGTCCATAGTCATAGCTACCAATATGACGTATTTTAATCACCTCCATCGTTTGATGTATTTCAGAGGTTCAAGGTTACATCTCGCAGCTTCAAGAGCTTGAGCATATTGGTCGACATCCTGATCAGAAATAGGTTGTGCTGACTGAGACTGACAGATGTAATAAATTAGGAACAAACGAAGTTTATCATCAGGCGTCCCAGCTGAAAAGAGGTGACAGAATGAAAAATCAGTTTAAAAGCAAGGTGAATTGAGATATTGATTCGTGGACAATGTGAAAAATAAACCTTTTTCCGTCATTTACCTTCTTTATATAATCATCTCATAACTTTGAAGTTTATAAAAGAGTGCATGTGAAGGGAGCTGACTTTGAACACAATGGACGCTTCGTCACATCAAATTTATAAAAAGCACCGTATTTGTCACTTTATTTTCATCAAGATTCTTTCTTTCCCAACAAATCAGTGACAGAATCCAGTAAAAATTGCTATGAGTCTATCATTAACATGGAATCAGATTCTTGGTTTTTCAATTGAGATGGAATTAATGGACCAATCTACATTAAATGAGTCTATAATCTATGCAATTTCAGGTTTTTGGCTGATATTGATCCTATCATCATTGTTAAAATATTTATCAAGTTAGAATCAATGATCCTACCTTCTGGATCAGATATGAAATCCATCAATGATTTATCAATATTTGCTTTACTCATCAATTTTTCTTCCATTTCGAAATATTCGTCCAGTTTTCTCATCTGATTTTTATTAAAAAGTTTATGTGAATATATAAAATAAATCGTATTTCGGGCATAGGATTTTCATATTCAGCTTGCCGACAAAAGCGAAAAGAAACTTGTTAACACAACTTGATAATATGGCAGATCACAGACTCTCAGCCAGTTACGAACCCATATTGGGTACGGGGTCAATCCTGGTGCACAGACTTGAATAGTGGAAGCACCTGTAATCAGTGGCATGAACCACTCAGTCATAAGTAGGAGTCCAACTTTCCCCCCAAACATAAAACATTTCACAAAGATCAGTTCTGCTGACCCATACATGGCAATCAGCAGTGCAATAGTCAAGTCCAATTGTGCTGCTAATGTTTGGCAAGATCTGCCAACCTTTGTTTAACGAGTTACCTTGATAAAATCGAGAACCGATGTTGCTATTGTAGTATGCATGTCAATTAATCGTTTCTTTTCCAATAATTCAGGCAATGTACTGTAACAAAAGACAGGGGTAACGTGGTATGAATAAAATGATATAGCAGCATATTCCTCCTAATAGAAATGATTTGCTCTTAATAAAAAACAGACGACGATTCAACAACAAGAAATACCTATGACAAACGATGTTATGAAACGGAAAGATAGTTTGTTATTAAAATGAAAGATAGTTAGGTGTGAATGTGATAGGAGAAAGGATTTAAAAAATTTTGTTGCTATCGACACCATTGGACATGAAATACAATGCTTTCAACCTTTTCTGATTTTTGTTTTAATGTACCGGTAAGTCAAAAAACACATACTTGACAGCAGAAGTTAACTTGGCAGTGTTATCAGATATATCAACAGGAGCACCTTCTTCAGCACCTGCAAGACCCTGAGAATGAGGAAAAAAAAACATAGTAATATTTAGACCCAATACACACAGATGAAAGAAAAAAACATCTTTCTTATAATCTCTAATTTTGCAGTTTGAATGCTCGCTCATAAGAGTGATCACTTCAAATTTTAAAGGCAACAATAACAAACAAGTTCGCACACCTAAAATATCAGCTCTCAAATACCAATTATATATCAATTTACCATGGCAGCTTTCAATCTTTGCACTTCTTCTTCATGGCCTCTATATTCCTCAATTTCACTTTGTACAGCTTCAGCTACTTCAGGGAATGGATTTCCTTTATATTTTTGCCAAAATCTATCTAATGGTGAAAGATTAAATGTTTGATCTTTCTTTTTCTTGGGTCTGGCACCTGCTCCGAGATCATCTCCACCTCCTGATGATTCGTGGACTGTGACACTGTTCAGGTTGAAATCCTGAAATATGTTGAGATTAAATTAGGATCTAGCTGAAACCGGTTGAAACCGGTCAAATATCACTATGAAGGGAATGCTGCTTGAATATAGTATTGTTTATTATTATGTATGTTCTGTTTTCGCGATTTAACCTTTCCAACCAACAAAATTTGTATCATGATTTTATCTATGTCCAATAGCACATTATATACACAAAATATCACTTATTATAAATCATTTAAAAGATTCTTGAATCCAATATGTTAGCTAGATGTCAAAATAATATTTGCCTATATATAGTTCAATAAGTCAGGAGACAGTCGAAATGGGGCAAATGGAGAAATATCGCATCACAAAATGCTTGTTTAGGAATTTTGAGTTGACTTTTATTTGTTGTTGTTGACAAATATATTGACACAGTGAAACCAAATTAGCTATGATACACATAAAAGTGTTTTAAACTACATTCTAGTGATAGTTTGGGGTCCAACATCAAAACCCAAAATAGGCATAAGGCACCACCTAGCTTTTAAATCCAGACTGAAAGATGGCCCCTCGTCCATGATGATGCCTAGTGTTCAAAATCAAATTCAACTAACCAAAACATCATGTATCAATGCTTGATAAGTCCATGTATGATGCAGTGGAGTAGCAAGGTCGATGTTTCGATCCATAATCACAAGCAGAGGCCTTTGAAACGAAAACTGTCCACCGGGTGATTGACCCAAACTTGCTGAACCAGATGATGTTGCAGAGAAGAAACTGTTTCTGGCATCTCTAATATTTTCTCTCAGTTTTTTATCCAGTCTTTCCGCAACCATTTCCGCTGCGTTGCCTCGTGGACATCTTTGAAATTAGAAAAAAATAGACCAAGAAAATTACTTGGTTTTCAGGGGAAAAACTACTGCGACTGCACGAATACTGTGCTGACAAAAGATAATGCACACGGGTGTCATCTAATTCATCAAGTAAACACACTTTTATATGAATTGGCCATTATCTAACAGTAAATTCAATTTTTACGAAACAAGATATGGCATGAGCCTCATGACACCATTATCTGTTAGGCGGCAAACCAAAAATTGCAAACCAAATTTCTTCTGTCAATAAAACTTTAGTGTTGCACTGTTACATACGAAAGGACTCTGGTAATAATCTCAGTAATTCCAGCATGGTTCACGTAACCACTGGTAGGTTAAGCGGTTACTACTTTCTCCACCTGGTTAGCAATTCCCATACCCCGCATGGACTGGTACCCTGATAAAAAGCTGGGGTACCCCATATGATTAAAAAATTTGATCCGATTGCTTCTCTCCAGAATAAAATATGAAAATACTATCCTACCCTTTTCATAACATGTTTAGCATCAATATGTTGAAACGATATACCTGCTTACATTGTCTATTACAGCACAAAGAAAAAATGACTTTTTTAAAACTTTCAAAATATATTTTTATATTCATGTCTTATAATTTGGTTATAAATTTATGAAAAAAAGATAACATTATACAGAAAACATACCTGATTATTGGAATTGCACCAAGACATACAAACACACAATAAAGACTGTCAACAATTGCATCAATTATGCTCATCATTTCTGTGTCTTTGATGGCAGTTTTATTGATACCTGTTTCAATGAACATGAATGTCATTACAAGTTTATAACCGTATATCACAGCAGAAGCTAACAATTTTAGTCATTTGTATTCCAAGAGATGCTATATAACTGCATTGAAAACAGTGAGTTTGTAAATTCTGACTTAAAATAATATCTAAATTAAATAACTACTACAGAGCTGAACCAAAAACTGCATGCAAAAATCACCAAATGTATAATTGAATATGGTTAACTTAATACATAAGTTCAATATTTTAAGAATAAGACAATTGATTGAATTAAAAAGAAACTTACTGTAATATGAAATCGCATCTTTGTTTTGATTTCTCAAAAGAAACATGTTATCTTCAAGACTGATGAAATTTAAATATTGATCGAAAACTTTAGTAACATAAGATTCCGCATTCGCCTTAAAAAAAAAGAGAAAAATGGTTATAAAATGTTTAACACATTAATGTAACTAAAATAGGAACTATGAAAAATTGGTAATGTTTATTAAATATGTTGATGTGCATTATATATTTTGCCACTGACCACTAACACAGTAAGAGCTATGAATAAGCTTATTTCCAATATATAATGGTTGACATGACCCTTGAATTCAAGTCAACATTGCCAGGGAAAAACGGTAGACGAAAAAAAAATTTTTCAAGGCATTAATTCTTAGTAAAAGCTTTTAGCATAGTGTTAAATTCTAATCATGCACCAGCAAAGATGTCATCAACAAAGATGTCTAATATTTCCATTTGTCATTTGTGATTCAATTCAAGTTGACAGACCAAGAACTTTTAACAGAATTCTGCTTCATTGTCCAAATTACAATTCTTACAACAATAACTTACTAATACAGCAGCACTCGCAAGATCTTCTAATTTATGTCTCGGAATAGCGGATATGAAATTAAAGTAATATCCTTCATAAAGCTCATTTTGCATATCCTATAAAAAAAAAATATATATTTAATCAGTCACTAAACAACAAAATTGAAATTCATTCTCAAATTGAACTGAATATCAAAAAACTTATAAACTGACTATCACACTGTTTATTGATATCTGGTGCTGAGGGCTATACACCCCCAGATTAGTACATATTACCATAATAACAGGATACGTCTCTGAATTGATCCCTGTTAGCCCCCCAAACTTGTCCAACTTGGTAACAAAAGAATAATCACAAAGCTATCATTCATTACAAACTCAGCAGCTGTGTGTAATAAGATGTACACACACAACACTTTTGGAAAACATATGAAAATTGTCAGCCAATGTTAGAAATTCCTTCAAACATTACCCGACACATTCTTGTTATATTTTCATCTGTTGGTAAAATAAAATATATGGCAGGAACGTCTGGTACTGGATCTCTGTCACTATGAAGAGACCTGAATAAAAAAAATATTAATTGAGTTATACTTGATTTGCAACTTGCCATCACTTTTATGCACTCAATTTGACTGTGAAATAAATTATGCAAAGATATATTAAGAATAAAGTCATTCCAATTACTAAAAAATCGATGCATAGTAGTTAAGTTACGAGTCATTGATCGAAGTTGCAATAATCAAACTTTTTCAAAGCTGTACATAAAATTTGTCCTAAAATAGATGCCTTTAAACAATAGTTTTACTTACAAGTATAATGTAACTCCCATGTCTCTCAATTCACTAACAGATAATAAAGGTGAAATAATATCTTGACCGAATCTATCATAAATCAAGACTTTCCATTCTGGTTCCATACTTGATGCTTTGGTTACTGGATTTCCAAAATGCAGCATTCTCTTGATGGCAACTGAAATGAACATGAATTTATACCAAATTTATTTGCCTTTCGCTCTGAACAAGGTCTTGTAAAAATTCTATTTATAAATGGATGCTCATCGTAAAAGCTTTCAAGAACCAAATTCAATAATAGGACGCATAAAAAGAAGCAAGTTCACTAAACCGTCAAGTACTTCTAGTTGGCGTGGAATAACCATTTTCGCAAATGTCATTTTTAACCCTCGCCTGACTACGTTATCACAAAATTACATCACTACAACGTCACAGTGACCAAAAAAGGCCCGTCAAAGTATACAGATTGTCATCTAAAACGCGCAGACGATCACTCAAAATCAAGCAAGCTATTTCCCTTGTTTTCTCCTAATATGAGGGAGATCAGATGGCGTTAGCGAGCGAGTTATCATTGTTAGGGATGCGATTTCAGGTGACCTAGATTTTCTTTGGCAAGCTCTATGACGTGATTGTGACCTAGTCGGGTAGGGGTTTGGAATAACATAAGTAAAAATGTTTGTGCCACGCCAACTAGAAATATTTATGCCTTTAGTGAACATGTGCCCATAAAACTGTGGAAAGCATATCAACTTTCAGACTTTACCATTCCATAATTTCTTTCTCATCTGAAAAGGCAGAAAAAGGTTATGGTACTGATATATGCAAGTCCTATCTCAAAATGAGAAATGACGATACTGTAGGTTCAAAGGAACAATATAGCCTAGGCATCTCTTTATCGGAAAATGGAATTGTAAAAATACAGAAATATATCATACCTGCTTGACGTTCTCGTATGGAGGCAGCCATTCTTGCTGAATAAGATTAGAAAATTGAAGAACAACTCAAAGACAATCTCCTTCTATCCACGAAAACCCATGAAGCAAATAACGGGCCAGCAGATCAATCCAAAACACATAACATCAAAGTAAAATGCGATTACAGGATTAAGCTAAGCTACATGGGAACTGTAGTAGTAAACCACTGTGCCTGACTCGTCAGCTCTTCCACGCTAACAAGTGCTCCCTGTCAAAATAATATGTTCAGAGCTTAAAGAAAAATATTTATGTTTTTTGAAGTTTTGCAAATAAGTTGAAGAAGTTTCATTATAAAGGTCCTAAATTTTTCCATTAATTGAAAATGTTGCTTTCCATTCAAAAGCTATGATATAAAATAGTATGGGGAACACGGATTTTTTAACGCCAATATTGCTCTATTTTAAACCTAGTGGACACAAACATTTAATATATCGTAGTTAGGATGGGATGTTTCTATTTATCGTGGGAGAGAGGGAAACCTATAGGAGAGCTTAATCACACCAAAAGCCACGGCCTATCAGCTCATGTCGGATATGGGAATGGTGGACCGTTTATTTATTTCAGATGCATGAACTTGATGGCACAGGGGTGGGCAAGGTTTTTGAACAAGGGGCCAAGAATTTTCCCACCTAGACTGGCGGGTCATTTGAATGTGGAGTCATAAGTTACATTCTATGAAAAATATTTACAGTGGTACAAAAGCAAAAGTGGAAAACAATAAGCCTTGAATCAATATTAAATTCAATTGGAAAATCAACAAATTCGTTGAGCTATTTTTTTAGGATTCGATCCGCGGTCCGTAATTTGCCCATGCCAGTGTAGAGGAGGCCGAAACCGACCAGCGGCTACGTGAACGGCAGTCGGCAAGTAGTCTGTCAATTCCAAATCGCAATACCAGTAAAATGACAGCTGATACGAATTAAATTCGTTTCCTCCTCCAGACACTGTAAATATGAAGACGCAAGGTCACTAGAATGTTGAAGGTGATCAGAAAGAGCACACACGTGCAGAATCACCAATGAAATTTCCTCGTGTTCTATGGACTCGATGTTCCACCAAAATGTTTTCTGTTTAAACCCTTCTTATTTAGTATTCACGGTGCAATCAGGGGATTTCCTACCGGTATCGATGCGCAATAATTGAGCCTTGCTTTATGTTTTCAAGAAAACGTAGCCTACACGCAAAGCGAACCACTTATTTTATCTCTAAATTTAGACAAAAGCCCAAAACTTCCGCTCTCATCCAGTGCACCCTCAATGAACACTTTTATAAGTAACCTCTGTGGTCACTTCTAAACAAACTTACACTTTTTAGCTTTGCAAATTTGTATCTGGAATATCGCGAAATATAATATCAGTGTTCAAAATCGCAAAAATGTTGCTAATTATATGAACACGTAAATTGTCCCACGTCAAATGATTTTTGTATCATAATGACTTATGGACTGCGACCCTATCACCTTGTTTTGAATCTCGTAATTTGCTGCTGTTTAGGTTTTGCGATAAATGTCTGTGAATTTCACTTAGAACCATTATGTTTTGGCGTAAAATATACATTCTCGTGTGACGTTGTACTTCGGCCGCTCCAGTCGCACCTTCGTCCCATTTAAAGTACAACAAATCGAAAGATAACGCTATCCTACACCGGAAAACTTTCGCAATATAATACTTTCGGCTTTGTAACATATTCAAACATAGTTTCATATTATTTGCTGGGCATCACAACGAACAGTTTTAAACAGCTTCGCCGATAGGAAAGTTAAAATAAAATGTATTAATTTTAAGACAAATGCAGTCATTTAGCGATCTTCAAGAATCTGTTTTCAAGTTGAATTGTATGTTTTTTAAGAGTTCGCCGCAAAACCACAGCGATAAAAGGAGGTACGCTCTACAGAATGAATGAAATATGTCATTAATAATAATCTGATACAAATCTAATCCCGGCAAGCGAAACACCTTTCCTCCCAAACTTGATGCAACGCCATACTTTTGATAGCTATTCAGCTGAATCACACAAACAAACAAACTAGCAGTTTAGTCGGTAGATATTGCACAAAATAATATAACACAATAATGCTCCAGTTAATGGAAAGAACAAAAACTACACAATATTCCTTGTATGAATGGAAATCTTAGATAATCTTGGAATCTCTATTCTTGTACTGATATTTCCTTGTGATGAATGGGATCCCATGTTTGTTGAGCATATGAATCCGCATGCTTTGTTTGATGCCATATGCACGGCCACATACTTTACATTTATGGGGTTTCTGCTTGATGTGGAAAATGTTGATATGCCTCTTCATATTGTTATACTGTGATAGGTAAAATACCATGAACATTTTAAAATAGTAAACTATAAATTGAATGGGAAGTTATTTTTAAGTTATATATTGTAAATTTAAATGGATCTATTTTACAAAATAATAAAGTATAAGTCAAATTTTACTTAGTAAATTGGCGGACAAGCTAACCACACATGATATAACATTGGTATAACAATTTGTTTTACAAGATAATTCTTAAAATATTTAAAAGAAATTCAGTTCACCATCATAATTATTGTCATAAATTCAACATACCGCTGTGAATAGTCTGTTACAGAACGGACATTTACAACATTTCCTTTTGTGTTGATCAAATGCTTCCATGGATGAGAACAAGTGATTGCAAGTCACACAAACATGAACATTATTATCAATATTTATATCTGAAATAGAATTAAAAAGGGTTAGAAAAAGAATATTCAGAGTTAAATATGACAATCATCATTCATGTTTTTAAGTCATTTGTGTTTCTCTGTAATGGGTATGGGTGGGCCAACTCTCGTGTCATGAGATATTTTCTCGATTCTGTCTTGCAAACATCTTTTCTTTTTACTACAGGACAAGAAAACTCATTTTACATTTGTACACTTCGATTTAAATTGAGTTTATTCTCAAGTACAATGCTTAGTGAAATTGTACTTGAACATATGAGCTATGCCCAGAGGTAGGACACATGGTATGGCAAACCCATTCTTGGAATGACCTGATAATCAGTGAATTCGTTCTCGTTTTATTGTTTTATTTAGACATTATCCAACAGCAATTGGGTGAGGTGCACTGTAGCTGATGGATAATTAGTGCTGTATTTGACGTTTTTGAAAATGATGTGTTATTAGAGTGTCATGTTGCGACATGAGAGAACCGGTTCTTTAAATTTTGAATCTTACCACCGGATATGCCCCTCTCAATTAACTACATTTTGTCCAGTTTGCGTCATATGCAGTGTTATAGTGCTTTGATTTGTGCCAAAAGGTCGTAGAGGTAGATTGACTTACTTGCATTGGCTGTAGTCGGAAAATGATTTGCATTGCTGGGATAATCATAACTGTGTGTTGTGGCGAGTGCAGGTTGTATAGGATGGTACCTGTTACCTATTGAAATGAATGAAAGATTTTATTACAAACGTTAACATAGAATAAAAGTACTGTGAAAATAACATGATGCAGATTTATGAATGTTAAGTCTAAGATGTTAGGGTTAGTATAGTAAACACAAAGCTCTACGTGAAAGAAAACACCTAAACAGAGTATTACCTAACTGGAAAACTATACCATTCTAATACAGAATTTATTGTCAACTGGATAATGTTTTACACAGATCAAAACATTTTGAAACAGATTGAATTTGATAACGTAGTGAACTTAAAATGGCATCACATGATTTGTATTTGCTACATTTCTTCAAGTTGAAATAAGCTGTCAATTGTTAAAAAGATAATTCAAAATTGAAATTTTCTAAATTATTTCTAATATCAAGAATTTACTATTTAGAATATATTTGAATATTTTATTCAATTTGGAAATCAAATATATTTTGAGTCTTAACCAGGACATATATCAATCATATGTAGGCATATTAAAGTAGATAAAATATGTTAAATAAGGAAATTCTCCCCATCTTGGTTATTGGTTGGAAACTTGTTGAGGAGTAAATGTTGAAGATTCATAGCATCAGTTAAAGAAGCACAATTACGCTGACTATTCCTAACAATTTACATACCTTCCACTGTATTAGACAAATTCAACAGATCAGCAAACGATGAAATATCAACAGGATTCAATCCTGATATGTCAGTATGCTCATCAGTTGTTTTCATCTAAGAATAGGAAACATTGATTCTAGGATTCAGTATCACTGAATACGTTAACGAGTCCTATACATTGCAGAAATATACTTAGTGATCATGATCTTCCTTTGAACAAACTTACATGAAAAAATATAAAGTTTGTTGTCAGTTGTTTTCATCTAAGAATAAGGAACATTTATTCCAGGATTCAGTATCACAGAATAGATTAAAAGCTATATACATTGCGAAAACTACTTAGCGATCATGACCTTGCTCTGAGCGAACTTACATGGAAAAATATATAAATCATCAACTGTACACAAACACATATACATACTTCCATCTACCTGCATGAAACTGATCATTTTCATTTTGCTCCAAACAAGGCACTTTACAACCAGCCACTGATGTGTTGGGAGATTCCTTATTTTGGAAAGACTTTCGGTTTGGCATTGCCTACTCAATTTTTGGCACTCCAGACGTGTGTGTACCAATATGGGGGTAACTAATTTTGTTCGCCTACTTTACATCAAGAAAAGTAAAATGTAAAAAGACTGAAACCTATGGGCAGGAGATATATTCACTTGGCTAACACAGACAGTCCCCAAACTCTCAATAGAACTAAAATAAGGAAAATCGGAATAAAATTATGGCCTAACCCTAACCTTATATACACACTACGGCCTACGGGAGTACCCAATTTTTTACACTCCAGATGGCACAGGATTTCCGTCGTTTCATCCTGCTATTTGCTGCAAAAGAATTTTTTACCCAACTTACATTGGATACTGATCCACTTGAGCATTCGCCATCTACTGGTGTACCAGGTGCACTATTTATGATTGTTGTCATAGTTTGTGTAGTTGGACATGAGGACAAGTCAGATTGTGAGGATAGTTGGTCATCTGTGAGAGATTTAAAGAGTTTGACAATGTACTCATTTGGTGTAATAAAAAACTAACAAATAAGCAGTAAAAATTGAAACCTTGCAAATTTTCAGTAAGTCCACCAAAATATGATAAATGACCAATTAATGATAAAATAATATGAAAACTCAAAATTTATCTCGTAAGAAAAAATGCTCAGATATAAATTGAAATCACGAAAACATATGTTGATCAAAGATGACCAAAATCAAAATAATTCATGATTCCTAATAAATTCTAGAATAACATTTCCAAATATGGAATAGCAAATATGTTCTCAATGGCGGTTATGATCAGCAATGAACACATTGAAGCCAATATCCACTCAAAAGGTTTGAATTTGAAGATGCAGTAAAGTTGAGCTAAGCAGTGATTCCACTGGATCTCTATTTTTTACACTTTTCAAAAATTAAATGAGGCGTTTTTAGTGTTACTGCAAGACTAGAACTATTCTGAGCTATTCCTGAATTCAAAATTTATTCAAATGTTGAATGAAATCAATTTGGAATAGTCTGATTCGTTTTGTATCTTTTTCTTAGATTGTGATTTAGAATATGTAACCACACTCACTCATGAAAGGTGTCGTCATGGTAGCAGAGTCATCCTCACCTTCTCCCTGAAGATTATAAAAAAGCGTTAAACGTTAAATTCAGCCAAAAGGAAATAATTTACTATTTGAATTACACTCTTATTAGATAATAAATTGAATATATATTTGCGATATGAAATACCCTACAGCAGTGAGGAGTCCAGCAATCCCTTCGTACATAACTAACCCATGCAAGATTAAAATTTATGAATCCCCGAAGGGAGATCAGAAGTGCGAAGGAAACTCTTAGCAAGAAGTGACAGCTTGGAGCGTTCCACTTACTTGGTCTGATAGGAAAGATTGTCGGATACTTTGTACTCTGCTGATAGTTGGCATGTCATCATCACTGTTTGTGCTTTGTTCATAGACAGGAGTAGAATGTGACAAATGAGAGAATGTTGAAGATGATTGTGCGAATTTACTAATTGTTCCATCTATAGTACTTGGATCAAACGCTGAAATTAAATACAGATTTAAAAAAGTAAAGAAAATAAAAAATTAACTTGATAAACGACAGAAACGTGATAACAGGAAATAAAGTTAGAACCGAATCATACAAAGATATACCTTGGAATATTTTGTTACGATTGTTTCTTAAAACTGAGATTAAACCGAAATCAAAAGAGTGAGAAAAGGACTCAATTCCAATATTAAGCAGAGTATTGTTGGAATCTATAAAAATTGCCTAACTGAGTTCCACAAACTACACAGAATAATTCCTGAGAATGCAAATGGCATTTGAAGTTATAATAAATGCTCATTTACTAAAATAAGATTGTCGCCAAATTTTTCAAATTGTCATGAAATATCAGTTGCCTTAAACATTTTTAATGGTTTGGCCATTTGGTTTGTTATAAAGGTTATCAAAATTCATCAACATGTAAGTATGATACTGATAAGGATATTTCGTCATCTGTGAGAAATGAGCATCTACAACTAATTTGGCTTTAAAAGTACTTAAAAACCAACAAATAAGTATTTTAGCAGTGAATATTGAAACCTTGCTAATTTTCAGTGAGACCACCAAAATATGATATCAACATGATAAATGATCAATTAATAATAGAATAAGTTAAAAATTGATTCGAAAAAGCGCTCAGTTAATTAACTAACATCCTGAAAACATATGTTGATCTAAGACAGGGATCTAGTTTGGTTTTAATGGCCACCAATATCTCACAACATGTGAAGAATTTTATTTAGATGAATTGCAATCTTTCTGGTTCTGCATTGCTTACTCAATTTATTGCACCCGGGGTGAGATGGAGTGCATTGAATTTGAACCTGAGATGTGCAACCTGTAGTGTCAAGTCAACACAGTTCAAGTCAGGCGTAACTTCAATATATTATGAATGCGAAACACTTTATAGCATTGGGTTGAACAAGTAAGATAGTGCGGTACCTACATGTCGACATATCAAGGTTTGCTATGGTTGGAAACAGTGTTACTGTGGTCGGGATATTCAATGCTATAACGTCTTCTACACTTGTTGATACCAGTGATGACTGATGTGGAAAACCATTACTGAGCGTCACTTCAGCATTACTGTAAACAAATGATAATAAAACTACCGAGTATATCCATGAAAAATCAGATAGATCAGTAGTATATTCTTTTTTTATCAACTTCTAATTTTTAGCTAACTTAATTAACTGTGATCTCTACTAAATAAACTCATGATTATCAATGGGATGTTTTGCTGACCATACAGAATTTGTAGCTTCAAAATGTTTTGCTAAGTCCTAGCTTTTTCACTCATGTGTAAGTGCAACAATCTTTAGACATTACATTAAGTATGAGTATTGAAACGAAAAGAATTCTTATATTAAATCATCAGAAATAAAAATAATTGTAGTTGAAATGCACAACTGGTAACAAGAAAATTGTTCGTTTCTTAGTAGCACACGTTGAACAATGAATAAGCCCGGTACCAACCACTTATTGTGTTTCACCAAAAATAAGACGGAGTCTAGTTTAAATTTTCTTTTAAAAATACCACTAAGGCTTATTTATGGGCGATGTCTTTTATTTTCATTTATCAAAATGAAAAATTACAAATTAGAGAATTAAGAGATTTTCAAATATACAAATATTACAAAATATGAAAACTGATATCCATTTACTTATAAAATAACACATTTTAATTAGAAAAACTACTAAAAAAAGAAAATTCAAAAATGACCATATCATCACCCACCCTGATTGACTAGGTCTTATTTTAAGGGGAGGGTTTATATTAAAATCATTTTTAAAATGCAGGCTAGGTCTTGTTTTCCAGGAAACACGGTACTACCTAATACAAGTACATAACAGAAAAAAACATCGTACCTTATTGGTACTTTTTGGTTGCTGTGTATATTTGCATATTGTTGCATTTCGAGAGAAGATAAGTCAAGCAAATGATTCGAATTTGCATGATGATTATAAGAAGATAATGGCTGTGTTAGTTGTTCTGTTGTATTTATAGTGCTCGGAGTATCTCGATGCAATGTTGGTAATTTCATACAATCTGATGTTGTTAGGTGGTAGCGAAGTGATTGCTTGATAGCATATCTGAAATAAAACACAACACTATTAGAAATACGGGGTAGGATAAGATGTGTTGCATCACAAATACCAAACGAGTCAGTTACTTATTAACTGATATTAGATGGAAATACTGATAGATACCGTCCAAGGCGTCCATTATGTCATTCAAATTCCTTATGCTGTAGATATCTATTAAACAGCAGATTATGAAATATAGACAGAAGATTGGCAACATTGTGATTGCAGTATTATGATATCTACACCATTGGTGATATTCAAATGATTAAATTTATAATGAATTTGTTTAACGATTAAATGAAACAAGATGGCAGATATTTTTGAAAAAGTAATTTGTCTACTGATTACCGATTTGGCATTAATACAGACAGCTATGTGAAACTTTTACCAAAATTGTGATGTTTAATATTTTATACAGACGAAAGACAGCGATACTCAAATATTCGCATATGAACATTCCTGGCTTTGAACTTACGTTTTATTACATTTTGGACAGGAATACCGATGACCGGTTGTGTGTTTGATTAAAATATGACGCTGCAGGTTGGCTTTTTTGCTGAACGGTTTTTCACAGTGAGAACAAGTGTAAACTTTCCTAGGTCGAACCTAACATATTGAATATAAAAGAACATGAATGCAAATGTATCACATAGGTCAGTGGTTCCCAAATGGTGCAGCGAGTTGCCAATGCCTGCCACAAAATCTAACAGAATCGATTTTTTTCACATTTCAATAGCAAATCAGGCAGAGATGGGGAAGAGAAACCTACTCACTTAACTCCGTAGGCATACAATACACACAATAATCCTAAAATTGAGTTTTATTTAAAGGTAGCATTTTTTATGTAAGCGCGCTTTGACCCTGATAATTAAGCGAGGCACGAGCAAAAAGTTTGGGAACCGCTGACATGGATAATTTATTACTGATGTAAGTAAAAAGGGACACAGGATTGGCAGAAAGATGCAGCTCAGTGAGCAAACAGACTCTGGTATTGTCTATTCTCCTTTTATGGAGGTGATGAATATTTTTGCCTGCATTGTGAATTCTATGACCCTAACAGAAATAATTTTAGGCAGCTAAGTAGAATCATTACAGACCTTTTTTCAAAATTGGGATAGAGGAAAGAAAAAGTTTTTATATATTTATGTCGGTTGAAAGGATAGGAGACTATAGGGATTAATTTTGTCGCAAGTTGTGGTCTCTTCTTAAATTAATGTGCTGATTGATTAGCAAAGATACATGTACTAGGATTTTAAAATAGGGTGAAGAACTGCACCATGGAAAAAATTCTATATTAAAAACCTCTCTCTCGCGCAACAAAACCCTTACCTGTAGTTCCACACCTGTGAGTGTGGACCCGCACAGGGTAGGGGTGTGATAGTATGCATGTTCCCATATTCCTAAGAAGCTTATCATGATGTACCAATCAATCAAGTAATGATTCAATAATTTTGTATCAGAACGTCATAGAATATATTAATGAAAAATTACACCAATCCAAAGTACGGAAGTCACTATCCCAAGTATTTCATATACAAACCTTCACATTAGAATTTTGGGCGTTTAGATTGTGACTGAAGCATGGTTGAGTTGCACTGGAAGAACTTGTTGCATTTGTAACTAATCCTGTTGGTTTCTTTCCTTTTGTATGTGTTGCAATAGAATACACAGACCTGACCTGTCAAAACAACAATATCTTAATTATTTTCAGGTCTTTTTATGTAGGAAATGCTTCAATCGTTGATATTGGTATGGGAAATTGAAAACTACTATTTCACACCTTGATAGAGAAATAACAGAGAAATTAAGGTGAATTCTATAGAGATAAACACAAGGAACAACATTCCCTGAATTTGAACTCACAATAAATTATTCTATCAAGTTGACATGTTGATGACGAGCATCTTTTGAAAGTTTGAATCAAACATGTTCATTCTAAACATTGTTAATAACATCAATGTCCTGGGCAATCCGAATAAAAACTTACTTGGAGTGGCTCTGCCATAGAATGAGGTTCATTTCTGCAATTGGTTGGTGATTGTAAGATACAGCTAAAAAAATTAATGTATGTACAAATATTTATGCTCAAAAAATACTTCAGAATCTTAGAAATCAATGAAGTAGTGCTTAAAAATATACTAGAAGTTAATGACTCACTATAGACATGCCAAATAGTGAGCCAGATTGACTTCTAGTATTACCTTATCCCACAGATTGATAGCGAGTATATAGCTGTACTATAATCACAGCAATGTACATTTCACAAATACCTACTGCTACAGTCATAACTCATTCATACCTAGATGACGTAACTCTTGATCTCATCGGCCATCCATTAGAATGAGTGTCTGGAAGCTTCTCAAATCCAAGATGATGTGACTTACCAGTGACATGTTGCCGATAATTGCCTGGAAATAAGACAGACATTAAGGTTATTAGAAGATTTTAAAATATAGCAAAAATAGAAATAGTAAAAAAAAGAGAACCAAAACCTCTCATTTGCTCTTTATTTGTTTTAAACATTAACAATATTTTATTTCTCCAGTTTTCCTCACTCAAGCAATAGCACACGCACTCAGAAGCAAAAAAAACACATTTCGGAACAAAGTCATGAGCGAAATCCTACACCAGTTATTGTGAGACATTGGTTATTGTGACGAATCAATTCTAGACAATATGACATATATGGAATTGAGAACTCCAAAGAGGGAGCGCACTGACAGTAACGAATCTCAGAAGAAGCAGATTGGATAGCATAATCAGCGGAATGCAAATTATCTGCTTGAATTTCGAAAGTTTGCATTCCCATCCAGTAACTGGAGCATTTTATACATGCAATCTAACTATGAAGACTAGGTTAAGAAGATCTCAAATAAAAATTCAAGAGTGAATGCAACCACAGAATTTTCACAAAAATAATCATAATTAATAAAAATGGAACAAAACAGAAGGGCAAAAACTAGTTAGCATAATACAGCTACATGAACAAAACTAATACAACCAGCAAGGAAAACGTCACCAGTAACTAAGGAAGTAGCCGACAACTACAAAGTGTGGGGTAAATGAATTAGATGAAACAGGATAAATGAGACTGCATTGGTACTGTTCTGCACCATGGGTGCTAGATAGCGATTTGAATGAAACAACCATTCTGTCATCGGTAAAGTAATACAAATACCTACGATAGTTCCAGTATTTCAACGATCAAAGCATGCAATAACTACCATTGGAAACGTCAGAGTCCTTTTCCAAGTTCTGACCAGAATCTTGTGTTATTTCACCAGTAACGCTATTCTCATCAGCACAATCATTCAAATCCACATACAGAATTTTATTGGTTGCTTGATTGTCTGCCTCAACCTCTGCATTGTTTTGTGGCTTTTCGGCATCAATTAATGTTGGTAATATAATTTCATCTTCTATCACTTTTGTGCATAGCTTTAAAATAATATGTTTGTCATTAAGCAATGTTCTATCATCAGATTGGCACAATGTCACAAATTAGGAAAACCAATCTTCTACTACATAATACAAAAAGCAAAAAAACAATTAGAACTTTTGAAAAATCGCAAATTAATTCCAATTCTAATTATTTCATCAATGGATTAAATTTAATAGCTATTAGAAGACAAAATAGTGTGAAAGTGTGCAAAGGTTTTCATTACACTCAGTATGGTTGTGGCAACTGCTGAGCCAGACTTAGTCATATTAACATATATCCACTTACTTCAACAATACCAGAAATTTGTAATTTTCTTGAAGTCCTAAGAATATCGTTAAAATTCTCTTTGACTACGTGAAGATTAGATGTGTAGATGAAGTTGAGAATGACCAGAAAAGTACTTTTCTTTACTGATGACAGAATTATTTCCTTGACATTGCATGCCTGAAAAATTGGTTCTTATTAAAGAGTAAGTAAGGATTATAAAGAAAAAAGCTCAAAGCTTTTTGAGCGAGAAAATAAATTTGATAAAAATGTAAAAAGTTACTTAAACTGTCATTAGAGATTCAATCCGTCCTAAAATATCTCCTAGGCTCCTATCTAGGAGTTGGAAACAACTTATATTAAATTTATCGATCAGTTTACCTTTGATTTAGCTTCATCCTCATGTTGTCCATTTTCAAATAAAGTGTGAAAATACGAGCTGAATGAGGCAAGTACAGCTTTGTGTGCTGGAAATCTTTCATTCTCTATCACAAGCCAAACATCACATAAATTCCCAGATTTTTGTTGCTGGTGCAATGCCTGGAAAAAGGAAATGATAAAATAGTTGGTGTGTGCTTATTACAAGAGCTACATTGTAAATAAGATTAAGATTTTTGGTAACAATCAAAAAGAATGAAAATATATAAAACATGCAGCCAACAGGTGAAGGCTTGATCTTGTAAAGATATCGTGAAGTAATCGAAGATTCAAATTTATTTTAATTTTTATATCAAATTTGTTTATTCTTTATTCAGGAAGTTTTATTTGAAAAATGAACAATTTGATCAAGATAGTCTCTCTATATCACAAAAAAATCGTTCATTTCATTTTTGAAAATGGAAAAAAATGACCAAACAAATTACAGATTATTTAAGTTTTCATAAATTTTCAAAATCAAACTCATTCAATATACTGATATATTGACTTCTATGTGTTCTTCGTTGAACATGTCTTCAATCATATTTATATTCGCTATTCAAAATATTACTTCAGAATGCATATGGAGAAGTAGATTGGCCAAAGATTATCCAAACTCGGCCATATACTTGTAGATATTGCAATTAAAAATCTTGTACATTATTCTGTTACAAATATGTAGCCAATATTTACAGAAAGAAGTGCTCGATCATGATCTTTTGCCACGAGTGGAGCGCTTTGCAAATATATATTGTCAATTGCCGAACATTCCTCATTCAAATTGGACATTTTCCACCACTGAGCAAACTTTTCAAACTACATTCTGTATATTCAGATATTATAAGATAAGTTTATTTCAACTCCATAATCAGCAAAAAGGCGATAAAGCGGTTGATAAAAACAAATAAATAAAAACTGATTATGAAATCAGGAGAGTAAACAAAACCTTGGATAAGGTTTAAAACGTGTACAGAATAAGAGATGGAAGGTATTGCCAAAAAGAAGTGGTACGTGTTCACTCACCTAAATAAAATCATTCACACTCACACACACAACCATAGAGCTTTAATAAAATTAGAAAAAAGAGAGAAGCTTTAGATAAATTATATAGTAACCAAAAAATAAATAAACAAGTAAAAATGAAATTGGAATGAAAGATAAAAAAATGTAATAAATAATAAGAATTGTTTGCCACACCATTTTAATAATTTTGTAATAATTCCCGAACAAGAGTGAACAGTATTTAATATAAGGACAAAAAAATGATTTCGCCAAGCTGATTATAATTGGAGTCAAGTGCCAAATTCAGAAATTGCCCAACCAAAGTTGCCAAAGTTGAGTGCATGAAGAGGTGGGCTGAACCTTTTCATTCACCAAAGACATGCCAAAATATGGCCAAATTGTAGTCCAGATTACATTAATTATTAAATATTACTCGGGCCGGAAAGATTCGGAATAATTTGATTTTTTGTGAATAAATTCAATTTTTCATAGTTAATCATTTTCGAACAAAAAAAGTTCGAAAACTCGTCGAATGTCACAGCAATTTTTTTTTGTTGGAATATGTCTTATATTAGTCTTCTATCTAATGGTGTATTCAAATCTTTGCCCTCAATACAGGAAAATTTTGAAATAATTCGATTTTTCGTGAAAACATTAAATTTTCGCATAATTGCAGATTTTTGAACCTCAAAATGTTCGAAAACTCGTCTGATGTCATCACAATATTTTTTTGTTCTTATAATAGTTCTCCATCCAATATTATATTAAAATTCTTGCTCCCGACTCCGAAGAACTTCGATTATTTCAAAGACGTACAGGTATGTTAACAAAATTGCAAATATTGCCAATATAACCTCATAATGTTTGAATATAAGACTTTTCAAATATTCAATATCATTTCATTATAATAAGTTGCAGCAATACTTTCAAATCAAAAACTAAATATAAATCCTGCGATAGCGTGATGTCCCAAAGTATTAGTTTTCGTAGAAAGTACATTTTGTTTGACCCGAAACTACTTTATGAAATTCGGGAATATAAGTTTGATATTGGGCTGGCATGACAGTGTCCCTGGGCCTGCACCCTGTGTACGCTTATGAAACAGACTTGAAAAAAAAAGTTCTAATCGAAATATTGCATAGCCAGATCATCATAACAGTACGGCAAACTGCAGGTACCGGTACATCGTACATGGTGCTTTTTAGATACGTTTGTGACTAAATTGACGAATGCGCGATGTACTAACATAACCTCTATTTTTTTTTTTTGCGAAATGCCGCAGGACCGAATTAAAAATAGGTGCAATTCCTAAATATGCAATAACGAGGTGCAAAAGGCACTTTTGCAAATTTTTGAACTCACATAAATTAATTTACGATTGTACGAGGAATTGCGAGAAGCAGAAAACAAGTTAACCATGTTGATAAAATTGTAGAAATGCCAATACAGCCAGAAGAGAAACAACAGCAAAGAATGAGGAAGCGCGAAAACCAAATCTGCAGATAAGAAAAAATACGTTGCTTTATGTTAAAAAATAAACACACGTCAGGGTTGTAATTATTTAGTTAGGATCCTTGGAGTTGTGCGCACTCGCTTGTTGCACGGTTTACACAACTCGCAAGATTAGAGGAACGTTTTAACAGGGATGGCGCGATAATTCAAGAATAATTCGTCCCATACTGACGTCAGATGTAATTCCTATAATATGCAGCTATAACGCATAGATTGGGCGGTCAGATCGAGTTTTATATATATACTGCACCAGTATCAGGCGGCAATAATTGCTATATTGTGATGTCGCTTCACTCAACCACTTACTTGCCACACCAGCTTACTGCTGGCGTCAGCTATTAGCTACATGTGTATTTTCTTATTTATTCAGTAACATTTAATTGTGATGTGTTCAACTTTAAATTTCTTCTAAACATGCTTTAGTTTTAAGCTTTATCAAGGCACTTACTTTCTAATTCGTTACAACATCTTTCTCCACTGCTTATTTGTGGCCCTCGGGTTTTATCTGACGTTGAAATAGAACATTTTATCGATTGTTTTCCCGGAATAAGAACCTTGAGGTTTTGTAGCCGCAAAATATAGCCCACAGGCTGGCGGATCACTACAAATACCCGCCCTAATCCCCCACTCTCCAAAGCATTCGCAATTTGGCATGTAGGTTTTCAGTTATATAGACACAACAACAATAAATAGGTACCGGTACCGTAATTGGACGCGGAATGTACATATGAATCCTTTTGCTGGATTGTTGTAGAAAAAATTCGCCTCTCCGAAATTTAATCAATTGATTACGCGTTTTCACTTCTTGAAGATGAGGAAATCGCTAAAGGGCTATTACTTTTATTTTTTCAACTTTAAAGTTCTATATTAAACCTGATATTTACAAAAAAACATGTTATTTTCTTCTAATTGTTGGTGAAACTTTCTATGATATAAGAATACTTTTATATGATATACTCTGGCTTTCGTGTCAACAATATATCTTTTGATTAATATATTCATTACGCTCGAATTACATAATTTATTTTGGTTTACTTGATTTGATAATACGCAAGTATTTTTGTAAAATTTCATTATAAATGTCTTCCTGAGTTATATCTTCGAACCCAGACATCTCCAAAGCACTGCAATATCTTTCCGGATCGATTTGCCATTTCTGTAAAAGTCCATCTTTCACTCGTTTGTTAAGACTTCCCAAGTTCATTCCTGCTACCATAACACCTCCAGGTTTCATCACGCGTTGAATTTCGTTTAATGACGCAATAATATCAGGCCAAAAATAAAAGCAATTTGTGTGAAACACACCATCAATACTATTGTTATGTAGAGACATCTGCGCAACATCTTCGTTTAAAATTATTAGCTTTCCTTTCGAAATGTAATTTTTGAAAGATTTTTTGGCATCATTACAGATATCACTCGAATAATCTACGCCGAATACTGTGCCTTTTCCTTTTGTTGCAATATTTTTCAGCGCGATATTTAATCCATAACCTGGAAAGATAATATTTAAATAATCATAAAAAACTTTCCTAGCATAGTAATAAAAAACGCGCATGAAAAGTTTAAACACAGCGTAAACATATATTCGTGACCTTATTGCTCCCGAAGTTTTAAATTAATGAATTGTTAATAAGCCCAAATTCATTATTACCGAGACCAAATCCCAGTTCCAAAATATTCTGGTCCGGAGTCGCAGCCAAAGCTCGGTAAGTCGATTCTTCAAGATGGAGGTTGTGCTTTAATATTCTTCTTCTTGCAATGAATCCCCAGATTCCCTTCGTTGGTTTTCTCATTTGTGAACTTATATATTTAGCCCCAATTACCATTTTGTGTGGTCAATTGTACCAAAAAGATTGAAACATATCAGTCTGACAGGTAAAAATAAGTATAAAATATTTTCATCAAACATGTTGGAATACAAACAATTGAACTTAATCAGCGGAGAGTCTACGACAACCAGAACGCGCCATCCTCATGCTAAAATTGTTCAGGTTGTCTACCAACACACGCACACACACATATATACATACATACAATCTACAGCAGCCATACTTTCGCAGTAGAGTTTACTGTTAATACTTTATGTTGCAAACTCTAAATGCCGTGCTACCCACTTGCATCAATCTCACTTCACGCAAATATCCTAACCTCTATTATACCCATCGTTGTCAATAACATAGCATGAATTCCACTTCATACAGTACTGTGCCTAATTTAAATTATTGCCACACAGTGTTGATCCATCCTAACCCAGAACTGTAATACACGACATTTTTGAGACATCGTACTTTATAATGTATTTGGATACCTTTCACGCTGTGCCAACTTTCATATAAACAACGTACGTTTGATTTGCTCTGATAGATACAATCTACCTGTCCTAGAACTATGACCTACTGCGTGTGTCCACAACCCAGCCCTTTTATGAACGTCCGTACTATTTGCTATTTGTTGCACTCTCCCAAATACGATAACTGTTTTCCTGAATTGTAATTGCAATCTAGTATGCAGAGGTGTGGGAGTTTTTCGATTCAAAATGCTATTCGCAATCAAACCTAAAATACCTCAACCTTAATCGATCAACTAGCAACTCATATGGCATTACAAACGAATGTCCAAGTTTACATATAGTGTTTGTTTTGTCGAGTCTTACGTCACTCACGTTACGCGGTTCTGTTGGTGATGGCTAGATTACCGCATGTTCTAAATATGCAGAGTCGTATTTACCATTAGGCAAGGTACATTGATGCCTAGGGGTCATCGTCATTTTTGGACACGTAGTGGACATAACGATCGTTTCAATATTATGTTGTTGTTGTTCTTTGACACGTTTTTAAAAAGTCGCTTTTCTCTTCGAATACTGGACCAATTGCTTTGAAATTTTCAGTGGTTAAAGATTAATTTTTTTGCTAGAAGGCTATTACTTTTATTTATTTCAAAATTTTGCGTGAATTCTATGAAATTTGATATTTCGTCTAAAATTTTGCTGTATTATTTTTTATCCATGGGAACACGGATTTTAGTCAGTGTCATGACTGGCTGTACGTTTTGATTCTGCAAAATTCTTGCTACTGGAAATTCAGAACTTTTTTGAGGGTACCGGTAGCGTCAAAGGTACCGGTAAGGACTGATTCGCTCTGGTCTAACGTGTCCATATATTTGTGCGTAGCTCTCTTGTTATTTTAAACTATCGTTCATTGGACACGAAATGGACATAACGATCGTTTCAAAATATTGTTGTTATTGTTATTGTTATTTGTCTCCGTCTCCATTTTTAAAAAATCTCTTTTCTCTTCGAATACTGGACCAATTGCTTTGAAATTTTCAGTGGTTAAAGATAAAATTTTTCTCCAGAAGTGTCCATATATTTGAGCATAGCTCTCTTGTTTTTAATTTATGAAGGATTTCCGGTTTGACGCCCTAATACAGGGGTGGGCAACATACGGCCCGACGAAATTTTGACCGGCCCGCTGACTGTATCCAACCACACTCTGTAATGTGGTCCGACGCATCATTCCTGAGAGTTGCCGATTGCTCTACTCTCACCGCACTGTCAGTGCGAGCTGGTGAAATACTCGACAAACAATTGCGTTAGCCCACTTGTAAAACAAACAATATAAGGCCAAAGCACAGAGCGTTGTAAACATTCCCCACTACTGTTATCAGTTATATTTAGATTCTAAATATTTTAGAAGTTAGATTTTATATTAAGTTTTAGAATGAAATATCTCAAGAATTGTAAAGTTAACAGAGAGTGTCGAGCATTTAACAAAGATTGGATACCGAAGTATTTTCGTAATAATCCGGCCCGCAGAGGACTTCATTTTCCAACATCTGGCCCGCCTACTAGAGAAGTTGCCCCTGCTCTAATATATACTTTTGACGTCGTTGTTGAAGAGGGGCCTCATTGTCTAAATCAGGCCCTGGCTCTATATCTAAGTCATGCGAATGATAGATTTCTTTAAAAATCAGCAATCTTAAGTATATATGATTGTTCAACAGCACATCTAAACTGCCAGCCATATAATAAGTTTTAGCTATAATCGTGTACAAGAGTCCGATTGTAATGCTGTAGTATTACGTGAATATTGATCACGTTCGATGCAAACTCGCTTTTGGCACTCTTTTGTATTTGTGCGGCTTATACTTGTGTCTACCAGATAACAATGCCGCGTCAAAGTATAACCTTTGCAGCCTAGAAAATAGAGCAAAACAGGAGCCACATTTAGTATTGCTGGTAACTAATGAGTGAAAGAGTAGCAATCTTCTGAACCTTTTACTTTTTATCATTTCTTTTACTCACAAAATAGTGCGAGATATCTACTGAGTTGTATACTGCAACTGCTAAGAAGATTTGGGCAGAGTGGTTATCACGATTACCTTGACAAGCATTGTTACCACTAATCCGTTATCTGACTGTTTGCAACACAAAATTATCTACTAACCATGCATGTTAAAAATATTTTGAAGTGGTGATCAGTATATGTGAAAATATGCAAGCGATGCAAATTAAGATACCAATCTGGCTTCAATACATCATCGTTGTGGTGTTGGTGTTTCTTCACAGTGTACTCATTAGATACACAAGGTACTGTGGTACTGCGTACTCCACCGTTTACGTGCCATTTTAATGTTTACTATGACAAGTCGTGGTGTTCTTATGTTCAATATAGCCTGGAATCTGTATCCTGTTATTCTTCATAAAAATACTTTAAAATTTATTGCAATTATAATTAATGAAACAAAACGTAAGTAGTCGTAAACGTTTAAACCTTATCGATAGGTTATTTGACGTTTAATTTTGAACTATAAGTTTTTATACCTGTCAATTTTCATCGCAACTAATAATATTGTCATGAATATCAGATTGCCTGCTTTTGCTTAACTTTGCGTATGTGCTTTTGAATTTGAGCGTTTTCTCCGATTTATTTAATGATTTAGGTTTAAACTATTTTATATTCAAACTCCGAAGTATGATAACTCTTCATCATTATAACGCTACTAGCCTTGATATGCAACCACATGGTAGAACTAGAGAGCAAAGAAATCTTCGGGATACCGTATCGATGGAAACGTGAACCCAATTGACCGGGCAAACGTGAAAAACTATATTGAATTTCTATTCCATACAAAAAAATTGAAATAGTTAAGATTACCTGATAACAAACCGCTCAACCGTGTAATTAGAATTACATCAGCCATTCTGCTTCTGATATTTTTGCAACGGTTAGTAGGCCTAGTTTGGATTTAACCTGGTATGCTTTATTTGTGGACATTGGGTTTTTAAGAAGATAGTCAAATTAGTAATCTGTAAAAAACCTGCACGTCAAATTTCCCAGCATATCATATCCTACAAATTGTAAAGCAGTTGGTTATTGCTAATATCTAGACGTATATAATTTAGCACTTTGTATCATAGTGTATGGAAATGTTAAAAATATTTTGACGAAAAAATTTTTGGGATCCAAATGGTTTTGCTGCAAGATAAAACAGTCGTTTGTGCTTTCTCTTTCGTCAATTCATATTTAACAAACAGCAGATTAACGTTGTTATTATATCTTAACATACAAATATCATATGCTCAGGGCCGATTTGACCGATTTTATCAAATTGGGCCCCGTCCTTTTCTGTATTATGAGGTACAAAGTCCTACTGGAAATGTAAAATGAAAAGTGAAATAAACTTTCTCATAATATTTATTTGTCATGCATGGTAAATTAAATTATCGTTATGTCGCCATTAACAATTAAATTCTTCTGTTCTGCTTTATTTCAGAAATTTAGATTAACATGTTATTAAATGTCAATTTTTTGGGTTTTTATGTATGTTTTTTTTATGAAATATGAAAACCCATCAATTTAACTATAAAGAGTAGGGGCCCCGCCATCGGATTTCGAAACGGGCCGCGCAATTCCTAGCACCGGCCATGCATATGCTACACAGGAAAAAGTCCTTATACGACTCTCTTTAAATGCGCCAAATATTAAATTACAAAATTTGTTCCTGCTCCAGGATAAATGTTTTTTAGAGTATTCCGCAAGTTTCACATTCAAATATTTTATAAATCAGTGTGTTGTCTTATTTTACCGAAACAAAAATCAGATCTATAAACGCATATCATAATAGCAACTTGACAGCTTATTTTAAAAGTAACTTGGCGTCGTTACTACTATATGATCATGCTGCATTTGCATTTCTATTATTATTATTGTTGGAGATTTGACCACCCGCTATGGAAGCTGTTATTATGTCACATTTATTTGTCGTTTGCTTTAGACGTCACGGGGAAAACTATAATAGCCATAAAATAATCCATGAAAAGTTGGATACAATTATAACGGCTTAAATTTCACGCATGCGGCGTTGGTTAACGGCCATCCATTTTATGCGCAACGCACCGGAAAAATACACTTAGCCCCGAGTTAATCCCGATAACAATTTATCAATCAAACGCTGGTGATGTTCATGATGACCTAACATATTGACTTCCAGATAGTTCGATCAGTGTGAGGTGATTTACATTTCAGAGAATGTGATGAGGTGAAAAGTATAATAAAGCCTAAGAGTGTCATTAATTTGTATTCTGTGGCGTGGTAAGTGTGGCCTTGCGATTTAGACTGAGTCTCCCGTACGCGATGGGAATGTTTGTTTAATTAAGCCTGATGAAATCCGTAAACTTAAGACGGTCGTTAAAATATCGTTAATCAATATAAGATTTCTGGAGATTTGCATCATCACGAATGCTTCGTATTGTTTAAAATTTAGCCAGCAGGACTAGATTATCAAATTACTAGGGGAATAGCAAACTCTCTTTCCACGAAAGATCTTAAGGTCTTCCTATTTATTTATTCATCTTCATAATACTATCTTGTTCAGGCACCTTTATGGCAACGGACTTTTATGGAAGTAGACAAAAAAGAAGAACCACTTCAATACCCTAATGCAGGGCTACTCAACTGGCGGACCGCGGTTCGAATCCGGACCTTTCGGGTATTTGATTCGGACCGCGCCTTATTCTTTATTTTGAATCATTAGCCCCACTTTTAAAGTATCCTTTTATCAAATCACTTTTATAGATTTATATACATATGAAAAGAACTATAACGCCATAATAAACAATCTTGATTATCCAATAATCATTAGTCGACGAGGAAGTGCGTGTTTAAGGATGCCGAAATATAATTTCTGAAATGACCGGACCCGAATATTTTTGAAGTTTCGTATGCCGATCTTCGGTAAAAATAGTTGAGTAGCCATGTAGTAGTACTCTCCCGTGTTAGCAAAATTACATAGTCATAGATTAATAACTTTGGTAATTCTCACCATCCCCAACTGCTGTAAATATCTGGTTGATATATTCGAAATGAATACGACACAACGTCGCATAGTGTATTACTTATTGAGGTTGGCAAGTTCGACAAAATTTTATGTTGTGAATGACTACAGTGCTTATATTCTGTAATGCTCAAATAATCAGAACCGAATTCGGTGCCATCGCCGTTACTGTATATAGTTCCTCTAAGCATTTGTCTTTTCCTCGAAATTAGTCCTACAACGAGTCGAAAAGTTCACAAAAAATACTATGATATTCTAGAAATCATTTGCATCTTTAATACTGAAAATAGAGTGAAGCGATTTGTATTCCCAATAACTATACATGAAAAGCACCAACAGGTTAGTAAAACGACTTATGAGTTCACTTCGTGCAACCAAGAATCGAGCGTTATTGGCTGTCTATGTTCAATGTGGAACATGTAAATGTCTTCATCCGTCATTTCTTGAACGATGACGTTTGAATTTTGATCTGTTGACAATACAAACTCGATGACGTCAGAAAATTTGAACTGACGCCAATTTTCATTTTAAACTTGAAAACATGACAACGTAATTCAATTTGCTATATTTTAATTGCAATGAAATAATAATGTACTTAATAAGAATATATATATGGAAATGTAATTTACTGTTGAAAGGTAAATTAATATTGGTTCTGCGAAAAACCAAATAAAATTTGTCATCATGGAGCATTTTAAAATAACCAATCAAGAGAATCTTAGAAAGAAAAGAAAAAAAACAATATTGAAACCTTAATTGGACAAGCTTTAAACTATGATATAATAATGCGCGAAACATGCTCGGCTGAGCGAGTATACGTTTTCGCAGCGAATACAATTTAAGGTGCTACAGACAAGATTGAAACTTTGAAATTTCAATTTTGAAACGAACAAATACTTCAATTTAAAACGAAAATGAATAACACCTTTCACACGTACATGAAGTTTTTTTGGTAATTAATATTTAATGTCGATCAAGCGATCAATAAAAAAATTAAAGTATATTAAAAAGATAGATAGATATTATAAAGATATTTTGTTTGAAACTTTCTCACGAATCAAAGAGAATAAAACGGACGCAATGAATGCTAATGGAATAAATACTCAGACACTTTAATACACAAAAACTTAATATTATAATAAAAAAAATATTTTACTAAAATTTTTGAACGATTTATTAGCCAGTTTTATACTGTAAATATTATTGTAGCAAAATCGCGATAATACTGAAAACAAGGCCGGTGTGCTATATTACATTATCCACTCTTTCCGATTTCATACTAAAACCATTTGAAGATCATACCGTACGCTTTAAAATTTTGGACTTCTATTTTGGGAGTCAAATTACAGAGATGATTTTTGAAAACAAAATAAAAACAGTTCAAAGATGCAGCGATTTCACTTCAATCGAATCTGTATTAAAATTAATTTATAGTAATTCAATCAGGCAATAACGCAAGGTTCACATCCCAGTATTTGATTTCAAACAAAAAAAAACTCATAGAAAATACTTCTTGTTGTTTAGATTAGCAAGGTTCATTTATACATGCTCTGGATAGAAAATGTTTTCCGTGTCACGCGAGTTCGTACACTTGTGATAGTATTGAACTTTATTTCAGTATTCGTTCTATGTTTGCATAAAGGCATGCAGTTAGGTATTATAGGCATTTTGGTTTGCTTAAAACAATAACCTTGTTGTGAAAATATTTCGGTTTTGAAAGACTGTTTTGATCAATTGTGTGCTGAGGTTGATCGAAAACACTACGCGGTTTAGGGTTAGGCTGTCCCGGTCATTTGAGTACAAGTTCATTGATTCAATAAAAACAAAGATAGGTTCCCTTTCTGCTCCATTGCAGAATTTTTAGAGCAACGTTTGAGGCGAAAGAGGTGGAAATTAATTTGCTAATCATATTCCAGCGTGACAACTTCGTTTATTTATGAAAATCTGGAAATTCGATTTGCCAATTAAAGTTCAAAGTTCGTGGTCTTTTCCGCGTTATTAGGATCAAAGGCTGCAAAAGTTTACGAATCGGTCATGTTATCTGCTGTGTAAAGCGATATTTATGCCAGTGTTTACGATGACCTCATCATCACAGGACGCGGATAAAAGCAGCAGAGACTCTATAGTGTTTGTTTAAGTGAAAAATATTCTAGAAAAGAACAGGTAGATAATTTCTGGTGACAGTATAGAGTACTAAAAATCGTCTCATTCAAGGTTATTTCACGGTAATTTGAATACTGTACCAAGGTGCGGACATACGTACAGCAATAAAATCGTGAGAATTAGGGACAAAATTATTTTGAAATAGCGTTTCCCCGCCTTATGATGATCGAAAACATTCCGATGTAAATTTATGTTATTGCCAAAATACTTTCACCGGAAATCTAATGGCCATTTTGATCACGAAATGCTTTTTTGTCAAACTTGAGCCATCATTGAAAAATTTTTTTTTGCGCAAAATCATCTGTGGTCGTGATCGATCGGTTACATAGATTGTGGATACAGTACTTGGGTGCAAATAAAAGCACTTTTAATCTGATGTATCCCATAACGATCTCGGCACAGGTTTACAACTAAATTTTATGCGATCATAATAGGCGACTGTATTTACCACATATTCCATTAAAATTCTAAGGGGTATTGACAAGTCGGGCATGGAAATTTTACCCTTCATGTCGCATTTTGATGAGATAAATAGAAAATGAAAATCTTTTGGTCGTCATGGGAGACGCCTCGGATGTTCTACTAAATGCAAACGATCATAACAATCAAAAATTTTCAAGAGAGATTGTGGGAAAGCAATAAAGGAAAAGTAAACAAGGCTGTAATTTTGAGTTACAGCGTCGGGCAGGCATTTGCACGATCCCTCGATTCAAACTGAATAATATTTGGCGTGATTGAAGCGTGATTCTTATTTAGTTAAAATAATTTGATAATTACTTTTATAAGAAGCTCTGCTTATTCTATAAAAGCAAAATCCGCAAGGATCGGATAATGATCGGACACATTCCCATGAATTTTATAAATATCAGTCAATATTTGTCCATCGACAAGTCTCAATCCCCTGTAAAATATATGATCTACAGCGGCCCGTCGGTTTAGTAACGTAGAATTAGGGGGATCGGAAGAATTATCGAGGCATTCGCAAACACATTTACTGTCGTTTGACGGACAATTATCTTTGCAAATCGTATTCGATGTGTCATTCAAAGTCCTTCTTGACGGCCACAAAACACTTTTGAATCCTAAATCGTTATCAAACCATATATCTAGCTCTGGCTCTGACGGATTGATATTAAAGTCTCCCATTACAATCACGGGATCTTCTCTTGGTAATTTTCGGATATCATCGTGCAAAAACGACATTTGTTGTCGAGATAAATCAGACGATCTTTCACAAGTCCAGTTTTTGTAAACTGCATGCAAGGTGTAAAAATGGATTGTTTTGTTATGACGGCGCGTCACTAATCCACTTCCTAGCTCGATATCATTCGACTCTTGGCACAATGATTGGACATTACACGCCATTTTGGCCATGGTGTAACTCGGAAGTTTTCGTTCGTCACCATTGGGCAATACACTGGCAGATTTGTCAATGATTTCCAAAGTAGACAACATTCCAACCTCAAATGCACCTTGCATAGGATTTACGATCTTTCCAGCACGTCTGCATGATTTTGAATTCTGCTGCAAATACCCAAAAGTGTCCTTTCCACCCCAATATGCTGGAAGCGTATTAGCTTCTTGCAACGCCAAAATATTCGGGTTGTATTCATCCATGATTGTTGTGATAGAGTCGAGATTATTTCGACCGTTCATTTTGTTGCCAAGCAATATATTCCAAGTCATGACACGGAGGTCAAAATTGTTTTTATTATTTGCTTCGCAAACAGGTGCAGGTGCTGAAGCGTCGCATGAAATTTTATATTGGGTTGATTGATATTTTGAAATTCCCGCTGATATAAGAATAATGAATATGAACAGTGCTTGACTAGCTTTTTTATATTTTCTTATTTCCCAAAACTCCTTTCTGCTTTGGTCAGAAAAATTATTCGTTGGCTTTCGTTTTGAATCTGGCGATAAAAGTGGGCCGGTAGATGAAGATCTCAAGCGGTCGACGACATTGATTTTACCCTTTACAATGGGGCAAATTATTAATGGTAGAACGCTTAGAATAACTTCGATCCATGTTATGAGTCCTATTTTTCCATGCACAATGCTTGATAGTTGTGGATTAATGAACATGATTTTCAAGACGTGAAGAATAAAGAAAACAAACCCGCTCATACCGACGAGGACTCCAGGCAGAGCAGACGTTGTTTTTCTTTTTCCGTTAGTTTGAAATGTTTTGCACGTTGAAGTAAGATTTGAAGATGAGAATAAAACGATCCGAAATAACAGTGGAAATGAAAGGCATAACAGACAGGAACCGAATAAAAACGAACTGTTTTTTGTGTAAAGAATGAGAGATGTCCCAACGATCAGTAAGATGATAATGAATCCATGCATTCCGATCTGGAAGATCCTATGTCGCGTTGCCTTGAATAAATATAAATATCATTTTTATTTCTTACATCTTCATTAAAACAAATGAGGCAATGGAAGAGTTAACGTTTATTAGGGGTATGGCTTTACCCGGTCCTACCAAACCGTTATTATTCCAATTCTACCTGGCCAATCTAGCGAGGTTTGAGAAGTCTCTTTCTAGACCTGTGAATTCCTAATTTGAATGTGTTTGCGCAGTAAACTCCTCACGCAGTCTGTGAGACGTTTTTTATGTTAAAGTTTTCAATTCTCTTATAGGTGAAAAATAATTTCGTAAAGCCGAATTTGTCAACGACTCATTACAACAAATCATCTGCTTCCGTTGTAATGAATTATTCAATTATATTATCATCATTTTAATCCCTAAATATGTCTTCATTGCAGTAATAAAGCGTAATTTGAATGATTCACGTCGGCTATTGGTCACAATCTAATGCCTTCGCAAAAACCCTTTTGAATCCCGATTTTTATGATCAAAGAAAATTATCTTTAACGAGTGGACTATGGAATGCTATTAAAAGCCTTTCCTCTATTAGCTCTGGTATTAAAAAGTTCAAACAGAAATGATTTTATATGATAAAAGTGAAATAAATAGGTTCACAAAAATACCTGAAATTTTGAAGTGGAATTTTCGTCCGACTCTTTGTCTCTAAATTTCGATGAAGCCTCCACATCCACAAGAATGGCTGCAAGACAGCCCACAGCAAAGCTTGCCAATATGAGATTCCCGGATAAGTATGTGGGATTTTCCCCCCAGAGACACAAAACGTCGGGTGATGATAATATCCACAGCGAGAGTGACGAAAGAGATCCTATGGCGGCAGCAAGAATTATAGCGTAGAAAAATGCGTAACACTGCTGTGCTGCTACCGATATATTTGCATTATGAACATTGTGATCCGGGACAGACGCTACAATAGCATTATCCTTTATTGGACTTGGTATTTGGTGATCGTTTGGATTCTGACAAAGAGTAGTGTCTTTCAATAGGTCGTCGTGTGCCTCTGGATATTTTTCATCGTATTGCAGTTTTGTCGATATTGAAAATTTATCTTTATCCAATTGGTCACTATCATTTGCGTTTGCTTTATAAAGCTGGACTTGTGCTTTGAAATAATTATCGTGGTTACCGTTACATTCTTTCGAGCTGTTGTCGATAGTCTTGGATGAAATTAGTTTTTCCATTCCACCGGTAACCTCCAATACGAATACAGAAATAGAGTATAAAATAACACATATCAACATAACAGAAGAAGCTTTCCAATCCTCATAAAAGATATTGATCGATCCATAACACCAGCGCACACTCATGGACAAAAATACAGCAATAATAACGATATTTCCAATATTTGAAGTTGTTAGCAGATTTTTCAACAGTCCCTTGGTTCGCCTGCATATGATCATACAGCCCATTTCCTTCTCAACTGGAGAATAATTTGAGTTTGGAATTAAAATATCTTCCGTCACAAAATTTTCTTGCTGTTTCCATGCTATTATAATCACGTAAACACTCATGGAAATTACGCCACATGACAAAACACAAGTTCGAATATCAGCATATTCGTCTAAACATGGCGACGACGATATTGTTAACATTGTAGCAGGAGATACACGCACCAAGCAACAAATAAGTTTTTTTAACAATCCATTTCGTTGTGATAATATCTTAGACGTAGGAAAAATCAAACTAAATAAAAAATATATGAGTCCGGGGAGGGACAAGCTAATTAATAACAGTGCAGTTGCCCAATAGCTGACGCCCAGTGTCTTTGGCTCCGTGTTGTGCCACATGGTAGCTTGAATGAATGCTTGAATAGTCGACCATTGTGAAGTGAAGATCGCTACTTTTCCGATTGTGTCCAAGGCACTACCAATGGGTATTCCACATGTGGCCATCATATTGGTGTGTAATTTTCCAGCTTTTTAATATGACTTATATTATATATTCATGGATAATTCATATTACCTGTAAAAAATAGGATACAAATACAATTATTGACAATAAGCGATGATTTGTTATAAATTAGGTATGAGCTGAAAAGTATGAGGGGAAAATAATAAAAAGGAAAATGTAAACGTTTATGTAAATTGGATAACCAATGACCAATTTTTTGAGTGCTTTCGGTGCACAATTTAACACGTTATCTCCAACATCCTGCAAATTATGTTTTTTAACCCGTTCTAACAAACAACATTAGAGCAATTTTATTTTGAAAATCGCTTGCTTTCTCAGTCGTTTTGACAATCACAAAATTTGAAATTCAGTTTTTCAAATTTTCATTTTTTTTATCGCATAATCTGCGTTTCTCTACGTCTAACGCACTGCTAAAACATTCTCCGTCCATCCACGGTTAGCACGAAAAAGAGAGATTGAATATAGCGTTCATTATTGTCTGACTTTCCCGCCTAATGAAGCAATGCGCAAAATCGAAGTTACGTTTCCGTTTTATAAACAGTCTGCGATCATCAAAATTCCTTTTTTTTTTAAATTCTCTCTTCTATTTATCACTGTTTATATTACAGCAATACATCCGTATCTAAACAAGGTTTTCCCACACTTAATCCGACACCACATTTCAAAAAACGTTTGGCAGTACACAAAGGCATTCCAAAGTCTTCATTTCAATAGTTTTTACTCAAAAATTTATGCTTTGCTGTATTGTTATGATTTATAGATGCTTTATAAAAGAAAACGAACAATACACGAGTAGGTGAGCACTTTCACCCTTTCAGTGACATTAAACGGGGATTATAACCCCATTACCCCTTTCTGACTGATATGATTTGAAGCTTCCGCACAACGTCACTACCCATGAAGAATGTTTCGGGTCAGGTCATATCCATGTGAATATGTGAATAATATTTACTAAGTCGCTGATATCATTTCAGAAGTACGACGAGTGGATTTGGATCTGAGTGAGCGAATCCACTGTATGGGCGATACGAAATACAAAAATAAGTACTGAATGATTGAAAATTATCAGTCCAATCGCAATTTAGGGTACTCCGAAGTAAGTATACCAGGTTAGGGTTAGGCCATAATTTTATTACCTGCTCTCCTTACTTAGTTCCATTACGAGTTCGGGGACTGTCTGTGTTAGCCAAGTGAATATACCCCCTGCCCATAGGTTTCATTCCCCTCATACACCTTGATGTAAAATGGACGAACAAAATTAGTTACCTCCATATTGGCATATTGGTACACATACTTTTGGAGCGCCCAATTTCAGGACCTCCAGAAGTATGTGCACCAAGATGGCGCACAACCTGAACATAGTACGTGTACCAGATTATGGTTCAGGTTGTGCGCCATCTTGGTTCACATACTTCGGGAGTGCCCAATTTTGTACAGCGTGTTAATAGAATACAATATACACATATATACGTAGTGAGATTCGCGTAATAATCAGCGAACCCGTTCTATTTAAATACTTCTATGTTGATGCAGTAATTTGGCAAAGTCATGTTATATGAAATGTAATGATTCAAGTGGTTTGCATGTGTTCGTGAGAACCCATTCCTAAAAATGTCGTGCTCATCGCCGAACCCGATCTTAATTCAGAGCTATAAGTTCGGCATGATTTGCTGAAATAACGGAACCTGGAGTGAGTTCGATACAAGCCTAGCCAGGCCAACAACCTACCTACTACGGTTACAGTTATCTTCTATATGCATAAATCTCCCAGGATGCAACGACCATAATATACTGCTGAAAACGTCACCTATAACTGATTCGATACCAGCCTGTTTTCAAAATTTTGCTCCCATGTATATACTGCCATATACATTCATCATCTGATATCCGAAACGCGCTAACGCAATAGGTCCATAACTGCAAAAAACATCAAGATAATTCAAATAAATATCAAATTTCCATCACATTGGCATTCCGAACCAATCAGCAATAAATATTGCATTCGAAATTATTGCTTTGAAATGATTGCACTCTAAAGTGAATTTAATTTGACCAACAGTGTTCTCAAAATTCTAAATTGTTTTAAATTTATAGTTAAATCCGAGGAATTGCAAAATAAATGGCCAGTCTTTGTTTGAATTTTGAAATGCATAACGAGAGAGTGCTTCACTAACGAGAGACAATTATTTCCTGAATTATGTGCAACGTGAGCGCATAAAATAATCAAAAGTTCAAATCTATTTATATTGGTAACTCTTGCAGTTGCAAAATTATTCCTGAACCAGTGATACAGATATACGATTCCACTCGTGGGTCAAAAAAAAAAATTTTTGTCCGCATGCTCATGAAATTAATACTTTTTATTAAAATATTCTTAACATCGACAAATTATGCATCGTAATACTACTACTATGCGACAAAAAGTCTGACTGAGAGTTTCGTTTTTGTTTCCCTGTCAGTATTATAGTATACAGTACACTATACTGGCAGATAATAGAGGGAACGCGTTTGATCTCCTCAATCATGAATCTTAGAAAACATGTTAAAGAAATTCCGAAATCGACAAAGATAGATGGCTTATAGACAGTGGACGTGGCGTCATATTGGGGTCACGAATGAGAATTACAATTTTCTAGATAACAAAGGCGCCAGTATGAGATAATGTACACAATCTAATTCCTTTGAGTGACTTTTTTATACGTGATTCTGTAGCTACACTACTTCGCTAAACTAATTTAGAACTTGTCCTAGTGTTATGAGGTATTTAAGTTTTTTAAACTTTCGAAACAACTCAATCACAGCATCACGTGGTATGCTCATGAATATAAAAATATAAATACAAACAGTAAATAAACTGACTATTTTGATCTGCTCGTATAGTACTGATAAGTTCAGCGGTATTTTGCCAAATTACGTCGACTATTTTGCGTATGTTTATGGTCCCAGATAGATTTATCAAGAGCCCTTAACCACGATCATGGAAAGAGCATTTATCTGGTCTGCGACTAGTTATTGTCGTCATTCACTCGGACACACAAAATTGCACATATTTCGTTCATTACTGTTTCTAACGCTTTTGACGATTCGAATCGACTAAATATAATATTCCCATACTCACCATAACCTATCTTGATAGAAGTTTGATACCTCTTCTGCTTTTAATCTCACACCACCAAAGTTCAATAAATTTTACCGAGGCGGAAAAGACTTTGCAATTTGCGTCCACGCATACTGGCGTTTACATATGTAAGTGTGTTCATCGCGCGAGGGCTGCAGTGCCACTCTGTAAGCGCCAACGAAATATGATACTTCGTTTCCCATGCTCTCGGATGGCTGAAAAAGCATCGATTGTTTTGGAATGGCATGCTTTGTAATGAACTCATTTAACAAAAACATACACAATACGGGTACATACGGTTGTTTGTCACAGCCTGATTTTCGAACTTTCCATATTAAGCGTTTGAAATTGAAATATAATAAAATGAACAGGTAGAATATCTTCAGAATAAAATAAAATGCATACGACCAAAGCGCTGGGAACTGCCAATTTGAAACCATATATCAATAATTGGCATTTGGTTAAATAAACTAATTAATGTTATGCATTTATAACACGGGTTAGTGGAAGTAAAGTACGAACCGATCACGATTCAGATAAGTTTAAAAAAACATTTATATATCAATCAGTGTTTATTTCTAAGAAAATCTATTGCACGATTGTGACGGTATTCAAATAATGTCACATGCTAAAAACGAACGTGCAAATAATATCACGAAGAACAAGTTGGACAAAGACCAGCGACCAATTTCTTTAATATTTCGTTTAACCATCGATGATTATTATACTTTGATGTGGTATAAATGTTTCGTAAATAAATTTCATGAAATTAACGTTCCTAATGCGAAAACGACAATGAGATTTGGAAGACACGCTTTATTTTCCCCTAATTAACGTATCCAAGTAAGCGGAATAGTTACAATATCCGCAACATTATTACCTTTTGACTACGAATTTTACTTTTGTGTAACATATCGCACAGACACACTATCAAAGTAATCACCGGCAACATATCAAAGCTACAAAGAAATGCCCAAATCAAAACCATTTGATTTATCGGTACTCCCGTAGTATGTGTATCTGGTTGGGGTTAGGCCATAATTTTATTCCGATTTTCCTTCTTTCAGTTCTATAACTAGTTCGGGGGCTGTCTGTGTTAGCCAAGTGAATATTCCCAGTGGTGGGATTCAAACTTTTTGTCATCCGGTTCCATCACACAAATGTCATATTTTTCGGCCGGTTCTTTTTAGTAATGCAACCGGTTCGCTGGTCTCATAAAATTCCGTGAGACGGTTCTATAAAACCGGTGCGAACCGGCTGAAGCTCACTATTGAGTATATACCCCTTGCCCATAGACTTCCGTTCCTTTACACAACTTGATGTAAAGTAGGCGAACAAAATTAGTTACTTCCATATTGGTACACACACTTCTTGAGCGTTGATTTATCAGTACACATCTCCGAGTTACTACTGTTGTGTATGTACTTGCGAATTTCACATTGTCAACGTTTTGTAAAGCTTTGACCTTTGATCCCGAATGTCATTACTATAAATTCTTGGTCACAGGGCAAGTAGGGTCAGTAGCACTTGTTCAAACGATATACGATTTCAAGAGGAAACTTGTCATTATATTAGTGTAAATATATAGGTCTGTTTGCAACTAAGCGTGTAATGATGGCAACAAAATTCCGGTGGCTTTTTCACTAGCTTTGAGAGAACGTGATGAATGCAACGATTGTCTAGATATGCACAAAAGCTTTATTTTTACCATGACTAACGACCAAAAAAATAAATTGAATATAATCGTCACAATTTTGGTTATTTGTTTATCATGACATTTAAAATAATGCTATTTTTATAACCATATACACAAATTTTTAAATTAACTTTACATTTGCATTTATTTTCATCGCCAAGAAAAAGGTCTGGAAAAACGAATATTATTGGAATCATTCATTCTTTGAATGTGTTTTGATGAATGTTGATATGATTTTTAGTAGCTCAAAAACTTATTTGAAATATCAGTTAAGTCCAAAGGTGAAAACATGCTTTTCATAGTACAGAAACGTAATATGAAAGAAAAAGAAATGGATATATCCACCCAATTCACTAACTATTATTTTACGGCTTGTTGGTGGCAAAGCGCGCACGTATCCAATATTGCAGCAAATCATAAACATTAACATCAAATCCCAAAGTATAATTTGGCTTGTACCGTTCTTTCATCGTTTAAAACATCAAATTTAGAACTTTGGATTTGAATGTTTTAAGAAATGGATTGCAGAATGTAAGTTTTAGAATATTAAACTATTGCATAATCGACATTTTATCTATATCTAACAAGCGCTGGAAAGATATTAGTCCAGTTTGTATTTACGGTTGAATTCTAAGTCACATCAAAAACGTAGACTTGATCCAATGAAATACTTCCGACTTGTTGCGCGACCACCAAATGCGGTCAAATACGCCAAAGGTATTCGAGACGATGTTCCAAACATGACATGTAATTACTGTGTCATTCAAACACAATGAACTACACAGTGCACTAGAAAGATATTAGTCTAGTTTGTATTTACGGTTGAATTCTAAGTCACATCAAAAACGTAGACTTAATCTAATAAAATACTTCCGACTTGTCGCGCGACCACCATATGCGATCAAACACGCCAAAGGTATTCGAGACGATCTTTCAAACATGACATGTAATTACTGTGTCATTCAAACACAATAAACAACACAGTATATTATTTAGTAAAATTAACAGTGAAAACGAAAAAAGCTTAATAATAATGTGTAAGTTTCAGTATTCATTACTAATTGAGCACCAAGTTATGATTAATTCACATGATATGTTTTGGAAATAGTTGCCATACCTACAATCATTCACAGAGAGATTTAAGATGATACACGAGAACGAAAAATAAGCAAAAATTTATTTCAACCTGAGGTCTAAGTCGTCAGACCAATTACAATTATTTCATTAAACACTGATGCATCATTGCAAACTCAGCTTCTCTTGGTGCCCTTAGCACGGGCCTATTTTTCTTAATGGATAATCTAGCCTGCCTATCGCTCATTTGCCTGAACAAGGCTTTTCACTGTGTTTGCAGCGAATGTTAACTGACATCTATACGGTGATGGATGGTGTTTTAGTCCAGCTGAACAATCTAGTGAAACCTTTACATAGTCAAGTGTCCGCTGAATAAATCCAAAACAATAATAAACTCAGAGCGACGTAACGGACATTCAATTAAATCATATCGAGCTTTAGTGTAATATTACGCCGTTCGGCCTGTACTTTCTGAAAGACTAAAATTAAATTGGAAGCAGTAATCAATGGATAGCGCGCAGCAAACGTGTTTTGACGCAATTATAACGTAAACAATACGAAACTCCCGAGATATAACGCAGGCGTACCTTGTAACGTGATGCGTATTTATCTCAGTCAAATTGCTCAATACAAATAGTTTGAGCCAAAAATGCTGAATTGAATCAATGGCTCATAATACGTGAATATGCATAATATGAACATTTCGTGGGTTGTAAAATAACGCTTTGTCGAGAAATCGGCGACTCGTAAAATTCGCCGGATCCGCCTACTCAATATAATTCCAGGAATTCGCCACAACGTCAAGGCGCCGTATTACTAGTTCCCATTCCTTGTAGGGAATTTATATTGTTTGAATCATAGCAATACAGGCATCAGAATCAAAAGGTGTTTTCAACGTGTTTCTTTAAACATTTAAACAAACAAAAAGACTTTCGTCTTACTATCTGTTATTTGTAGCTTATTGTTAGTAATTCTTTTGTTTATGAGGTGGGGCGCGAGACTTGACAAGTTTTCAAAAGGGTGCGCGGCATAAAAGTTTGAGAACCACTGGTGAAAATCATATATTAAAATAAGTATCTGAATCAGAACGTTCTAGGTAATTTAATAAAGTTTTGAGTTAACAAGATCAAATGATAGGTTCTTACCCAGAAACGTAAATATAAGGAAACGACTATTGGATAAGAATTGTCGCTAAATGTCGTTTCGATTTCAGTTTATATTTATATGACACGTGATTGCCAGAACAACAATCATATTAGAACATGAACATGGACTAATATTCTGCAATTTCCTACCCAAAGGTATTCAATTTTGCAGTATTTTGACCGAATTTTCTTCTCCTTACTCCAATTAAATTAGATCGAAAAAGAAGCGCTAACGCAATCAAACTTTGACAAACTTGAAACAAAACAGTAATCGCCAAGAAAAGCGTAATTTAATAAAATATATCGAAAATATATTACAAAAAAAAATTTGAACTGTTCTTGGGTTTTTCGACTATAACCGACTCTCAAATTCAGTTTGCATCAACTATATACAAGAGTTGAATTTCTAAGTCGTGGTCCCGCTTATTACCGCTATTGACGAATAGCCCAATTGCCAACCAGTGCTTTAATCAATTGCAAGACAAAAACGACGGCGTCAATCCAAACCTCAATTAATCAAGTCAGGGGTAGAAAAGATCGAAAATAATATTTATTAATCACCCATCGATTTATTTTCGTTGGAATATCGAAGATTTTAATGCACAAAAACATCCCATCGGGGTAAATAAGACGATTATTTAATCAATGATTGATAACGATGGACAGGAAAGGGAAACATTAATTGGATTTGGCGTTTGGGAAGAGCAGTTAGAGCTCAAGGAACCTCATCTATGTCCAATATCTGGCCATGTATCGTGTTATACTTGCCCGAGCCGATGGCAAACGAAGTGGCGATGTTGGCCCGGTCGAATCGTTCCGATAAGCAAACAATTTTTAAGCTATTTTAAGTAACAGTTTTTTAGAATTACTACATTTGGTCGATTCAGCTTTCTCTGCCTATATTTACAGTGTACATAGCTTTAAATAAAATTGATGTTTGCTATAGGCCGTGCTTGCGTCCATAAAAAGTTTGACTACTTACAATATTAAAACGGATGTCCCACTCTATAAGAACCCTAAAAAACTAAAGTGTGTTGCTCTATCTACTATATTTTAGTATTGTACGGAGTTCGCTCATGGATGATGTATTTTTATGTTATCTTCTAAAAAATATGGTGACAGATATCTCGCATTTTGCTCTAAAATCTTATTTCTTTTTTCATATTCATTCTCGCAAATTTGAATCCGTATTAATCAGGATAAAAACAACTACAGTATTCTTAAATGCTTATTACGACAATACACCTTACCGTCTTATACGCAGCAGTAATCTTCCAGGTAACATAAAATATTAATGTCGACTTGGTATCGCATTATACAAAGCAAACAACGCAGTACGGATGTACAAAAGAACAAACACCGCAAACCTTAGAATATCTCAGCCTTCAAAAATTTTATATTTGCTTGCAAAGAATTGTTCACACAGAATTTTTACCCTTCATTTAGCACAGCCAGCTAAACTTTAAGGGAGCATTCCAATTGACTTCAAAGGCAACTAACTATTAGGACAAGATCAGTTCAATTTTACAACGGGCTAAGCATGTCACAAAGATAAATATCAAGTGTCATGCTTGGTTGAACAATACGTAAATTCTGATATATATCTATAAGCTACTGTATGAGAAAATTCTTCAAGTGCTTCACCGACAAAAAAATCCCACGATTTTGTTTGTTTTCTTAGCCGATAAGCAAAGTGCCACTGTTATTTGTCCGCTTCGTAGGGTTATTGCGTTTGATGAATTACATTTTTGATTACCCCGAATTTTGACTACAAGAGTAAATATTGCTAACGTTGGTAAAAGGTCGCTTCTTGATAGGCGTATAGTTTAAATTTTAGAATAAAATATGAAATTAAATTGCAATCATTGCAAGTTTGTTGTTATTATGACAGACGATAAGATCGGTATACGGCGAAATTTTTGTTGGTAAAGTTAGATGGTATTCATTTTTGTGGTAATCAATACATCACATTTTAATACACGAAATTAGTAAAACATTGGTAATAACATAAATAAAGTTATATCTATGCTACGCTTGCACCCATCCTGGCGTAACATGTTTAAAATATGTGAAGCAGTTGGTTTTAAAATTCCCAAATCTCAGCAAATACAGTTCGAAAGCATTGACATTTAGCTAATGATAACTCTAATTATCGGTTTAAAAGTGATTTGTTCTTCCACTGTTAATTACTGAAAATACGAAACACTAAACAGCGATTAAGTCATTTTGGCGGCACCATTCAAGCAGAAATGTTGATATCGATTTACTCACACAACCGTCAAATTTAAACAACAAACCTCGCTTTAGTATCACTCGGTTTTGCTGGCATAAAATATTTTATTGTATCCGTTATTGTATAACTCACACAAACTTACATTATTGTAAACATCCAGTTCGCATTCTTTCTCCAATCTGCCAGACTTTCATCTAAAATTTTCGATTCCCTAACCTCTGCCCTGCAAAGCCTATTGTGTTCTGAAACACCAGACTACATCAATTTTAAATGCAGACCACACAACGCACGAGTCCCCCGAGAGCGACCAACAAACTGTCGCATTACCGGCATTTAGTAACTGAAAGGCGAGAGACGGACGATATTTTTCCTCCGATGTCGCCATGACCCGCGGCAATCTAATGAAGTTGCCCTTCGCAATGAATGATTATGAAAATGTGGCGAATGTATACACAAACGTTGCGGATTTTAATGATATTGTTACTTTCTTTAAAAATAATAATATGGTAAAAGAATAAATAGAATTATTGCAGTGACGATTCTTGTTATTTATTAATTTTTATTCAAGGAAAAATATGACACGGAACGGTTTTTATTTAATATTAAATAAATACAAGTTAATTGACATTACAGTGCGTTAAAAAATACCAATAAATGACCAATGCATAAATTTAATTCATAGATTCTAACAAATAAAAGTATTTGACTAAAATGTCAGTTTTTTCAAAATATTGAGATATAATTATTATTGAATTTATTACAATAAATAATCGAATTTTTTTTTTGACTTATTTGAAGGTGGATGTTCTCATTGAATGGCGTAGATCGTAAAATCATGATGACATACCGATGAAAAAGGATAAAAAAAATTTTACACATATACTTTTGCATGATACAAACGTGCTTATCAAATTCAATATTTTAACACGACATAGAGAAAAAAATAAAAGCGAAACACTTGATAAATGAATCAATATTCACACCAATATTATTTTAAATAAATTAAATAATGTTGGGTATATTTCAATTCATTTAAAACTTTGCCAATTTAAGTCCACAGTTCGCCGTTGTATCTATTAAGCAAAGCTACTCTATGAATGGCCAATTATAGGATATAGATAGAGTTCTTCACCGATGCAATGGCGATTGTTGATCGACGATCAAGTGTGCAACTTTTGACTGGTTTATTACAGGTTGACGTGTACCCCTGTGCATTTAAGTTTATCTCGATTCGAAATCAAACGATAGAATGATGACACTGACCAATCGATACTCCCGTAGTATGTGTGCCAGGTTAGGGTTAGGTCATAATTCTATTCCGATTTTCCTTATATTAGTTCTATTACGAGTTCGGGGACTGTCTGGGTTAGTGAAGTGAATATACCCTCTACTCATAGGCACAACTTGCTGTAAAGTAGGCGAACAAAATCAGTTACCTTCATATTGGTATATATACATAATTCTGGGACGCCGACTAATTTACCCTGCCACACTGTAGGAAACTACAATGGACTTGTACTTGTTTATAACATGACAAGAACATCGACCTTGACATCGAACATCGACAAATGCTCGAGTGTCACTTTGATATCCTCAAATTACTAATTGCGTATCTCAAATTCCTTGATTATTATTAGGTCATGGTTTTAATGTAGAATCATCTTACTTTGATCATATCATGTATAACTCATATACTCTTGCATTGTAATTCATATGTTTCGCTAGTTTTTGAACTTCAGTTATCGGATGAAAATCGACGTTCATTGTCCACTTGATACACGGAATGAGATGAATTCTATAGAAATAAACGATTACAACACCTGTATTGGCTTAACTTGTCGTTCTGGTAAATATATTATTCAATCTACCAAATTATCGAAAGCATTCACGAGAAGTCTTATCATCTGTCATATTTTCATCAATACATTACTTTGTATATGAATCAAACCTATATCTCGGGTTCAAGTGCATCATTACATTTCAATTTATCTGACTTGACTGCTTTAATACACTTGTAAATTTGTATTTTCTTTGCATATTGAGATATAATTTTAAAAGAATCAAACGGATAATATGTAAATGATTATGGTGGGGTGTGATTTGTATATAACATTTACGGATATTATTTCCGTTCAAAGTTTGACAAAACACATCGTTTATCACAAAATTACCCGATAAGAGCGTGTAAAATAGCAAATTGCTTCATCACGTTTCGTATTATTTTCTCCACTTTAACGATACCCCCATATAAGGTTTATCTGCAAAATATTTCAGTTTTATCTTTTCAATTTTATGACACTTGTTATTTGACTTTGTTACCTCGAGCGATATTGAATGAGGAAAGAAGAATTTCGCAATGTACACTACACAAAGGTCATTTTGTTTGAGTATGAATGTATTTCACAATTTTATATTAATATTTCTTTGGTGTTTCTTTGTTATGTCTGATGTTCCATAGCAAATTAAAAAAAAAAACTTACCATCGAAATGCCAGAGTCAAATATTTTTTTTATTGCACATTGTGTTTATAAAACTTATAAAACAGTGTTATTACATATTAAAACGTGCTATTTTTATATAGAATAAGTTATTACCGGAATAAGGAATTTGATAGATATAAATGTTCGTACACTGACTGTTTTACGAAATGAGTTAAATAGCGTAATAAAGTATAGCAAGACTTTTGATTTGGGCGATGTTTAAAAGGTTAAATAGTAAAATAACGAGAATTACAAAAACACGATTTTCTTTCCCCGAGATGCGCCACTGTATGCAAATGATTTTTACGAGATATGGCATCGTTGAATTGCGGAACTGATCACAGTGATTCTCAAGAGCCTTCTTCGAGGTGAATATATGAAAGTATGAAGTATATTGATAGTTGTTTTGATATTATATAATTATATTTACAACAAGACAAGAAAACTATTCTATAAATCGGCCTGACAGAGTTGGTAAAGTACGGTTCTACGATAATTTCCCTGCGATCCAAAAATAAGAGGTAAACAACAATTCCGTCTTAAATTTACATTTACGATAATACTTTATAAGCCGTCTCTATTATTGACTGCTCTGTATAATATAATCTCATAGGAATCCTGGCGACTTTCCCAAATATTTAGAAGAACTTAGTGTCAAATCTGATATTACAATAACTCTGTAGGATTCGCGATACTCTTACGATATATAATCGCACTTTTCAAATCCGCTGGGTCAAATTGTTTGTTGGAAAACGTCAGATTTATGGGAGATTTGCATCGATAAATAAAACTGTCGAAACCTCGAACTAATGTCTCACAAAATCTCATTCATAACAACAAGTACTGAAGAGATTATGCATTTCTACTTAACGCTTCTATTTGACTGAATTCATTTACACTTTGTCGAAGTTGTTTTTAATTTTGAAAACATAATCAATCTGCAAAAGTCTTTTGCAGGATTAATCTTCTTTAGTTTAGTTTACACATAATATATTGTCGCCGTTGTTACCAAAACACTTTTCGGCTAGAATTCTGAATTTTTCGCAGTGCGATTATTAATTTAAATTACCATTTGACACCCGGAGATATTGATGAACTCGCAAATAAAATAATATTCATATAATAACACGAGGTCATGATATTTTTGATCTTCAGTTGACGAAGCAAGTGTTTTCAATGCGATTAAGCTCCTCACTGAATAGTTCGATGGCGCATACATGTTTTGATATTTGCTACAGAATTTTGCATGCGGTGAAGTAGACAGGATATTTTGAAGGAATATGTGACTGTTTTTAAAAAATTCTCTGCTTAACTGCAGTCCAATGGATCCGCAAATAGTTTAATTTATGTCGTATTGTTTCGTATTAATGATATGGTTTCAGTAATGGAAAGCTTTAGCTATTTATAACGCAAATTTTGCTTAAAGCAACACTTCTTTATGCATTTTCTCATTTTATTGGCATTTTCATTGAATAACTGATATGATTCTGAATTTATCTTCAGTGTATATGTAGGATTTAATATGAATCCACATCTATTCAAGTTGACAAAAATGCTGTACTTTTCCAGATATTTCCACGTTCGCACGGCATTATACATGATAGAATGATCTGATGATAAGACAAAACATCGGAAGGTGGTAAGTGTGAGTTCAAAAAGGCGTCAAAATTCTTGACGATATTCATAAAATTACTTGTCAATTGCCAATCCAATTTTCCTCGTATTGGGAGATTGACATCCGGTTTGGCGTTTACTGACATGCTTGAAGGTGAAACTGCAACGCATGCTTTCTAGAGTTATCATAATTTAAATAGATTCATTTTTGAATTGCTCAATTTCATTTTTAGGGAGATTATTACTTTTATGATTTTTGTGGAATGTATTTGCTTTTAACTGAATATGAATGTATGATGATGATTGGATTATTGTAGATGTACATTGATGCGACACTCCTGAGCAATTTATGTGGCCAAATTCTATTAAAACAATCCTATATTTTTGATAGATTTACAGATAAGAGCATTAAATTGGTCTCATCAAAGCCAATTCCGCACATTTTGGAGTTAGTCACAGCTGGCCTATTTTCAACGCAACATATCCTGTATTGCTCATATGTACGACTGCTGTCGGATAAAATTGTGTAAAAGTCCTGTCTAGAATGGAACCCAATTTATTGTATTGAAATCTTTTATTCCAAAATAGGAAAACTTCGGAGACATTTTATATGTTTCAAAGCTCCAATTGCGGTCCTAAGCAAAGCTTTTGAGAAATGAACACCTTTTGTGGTTAGGAAATTAGCAATACATATTAGAAATAAATATTGTAGGTAAATTACTGTTATAATTACTGGGTTTGGGGATAATTGAACCCGTCAGTATATTTGGGTTATAAAACTTGTGATATATATATATTTAAAGTTCAAAGATGGAAGGTCATACTCTACCCATACATTAAAACACATATAACTGAGTAAAATTCATAATTCGATTCTATGCGATGAGGGCGCGAAATTATTTTTTTGAATTGCATTTGCCCACGGCTATGATAGGAGTTTGATATTTATCCCAGAAAAGAGAAAAGCCGACGTAACTGCTCAACCATGTGGAGTACCAGGGTATGGTCTGGTTTCCATGCCTGGTGCGGGATTAGTTAGCCATTTATTTGTCTTAGATACACGGACGTGGTCGCCATTTTCACCATAGTGGATATGAATATGTGCGTATTGTGGCCAATTTATTTAGTTAAATAGAGATATAAAAACTCTAAATATACATTCATCTAAGAGATAACACATTACCTCACATTCAGAATAAAATATAATCTCTATTAATTACCCTAATGTATCAAAGGTAATAATT